AGTTGATATTGCCGGAAGTGACTAGGGCTCTACTAAGCTATCGTCTCTGAATTTTAGTCTTTTAGTCTTACTTGTGACAGTCAACAAATCAAAAGCCCATGCCTCCCCGAAAATTTTGGAGCACCTCCCCTCTGCCCTTCACTGTGAAAAGCCTGGTGCCATCCCTGCATCTGACCTACACATAAATTCAGCTTACCTGCTACGCTTAGTGGGAAAATTGAGACATGAAAAGTGGATTCAGCACCACTAGCTCCCAACGTATTTTACGTGGGCGGGCTGAAGGTCAAAATGAAGGGGGTGGGGGGGGGGGGGGGGGGGGGAGTAAAAAAATTAAAATTGAAAATACAACCATCACCAAGATTCTACTGTTTATGGAAGGTTTATGATCACTATCTATACCGAATGTCCATTCATTCATCCAAAATTCCTGTCACGAAGCAATGAGATGTTGACACACCCTTTCCCCCCCACCCCTCCCTTTGAACGCGAGGCCTGGGAAGTTTCGTTGCGCAGCTCCTTCCCCAACGACCAGCTCGTCCTGATCCGGCGGGCAAGAGCTGCAGCGGAAAGCACTGGAGCACTAGACTGAGGGCTCCACCCTGACCTTTGCGCTTTCCTAAAGTAGCTCAATCAAATTTGTACCTACCTACCCCATTCAATAAAAGTAGCTATACGGCGTCATCTATCTACGGAGTGAATGTGAAATCGGGCGCCTGCACGTAAAAAGCTGAGATTTTAAAAAAAAGGTGCATTGTAATCGCGGACGCATTCCTGTGAAAATTCTCAGCGCAGCTTCGTTCCTGAGGAAAGTTACAACAATGCATTTTAGAAATTTTCAAAAAAGTTTACCACCGATGGACGCGGTCATCCTTCGGTGCTAAACCTTCACTGGCAATGCCCTTTTTTATTTCAGCATGTTTCCTGTTTTCATGGTTGTCTATGAAAAAGAGGGTAAAACCGTCTGAATGTATAATAGGGTGCCCACCTGAACATAGCAGGCTGGCTCGCCAAGTACCCCCAAATGGTGTCTCAAAAACCAGACACAGAAATACAGGCAAGAATGCTGCAATTCTTCTATGTCTCCGACGACAGACATGATAGCGGCGCTTCAACACAGACTGCAGTGCGATCTCTCCCTTGACAAATTGTTGCTTGCTAAGGCCTCCTCTTGCCTTGGAAGTTGGGGTACTTAATTCCCTCAGCTTGCTACATTCATAGGTAGTCTTTCATTCAAGAAGGCCTTTCGTCTCGCGCAGACCATCTCCCCGCCTCGCGCTTCGGCTCTCCCCAAGGAAACAATTACATGACCCTCGTAATTGCTCAGACCGCCACAACAACAACAGCAACAATAAAAGCGCAGCTGCAAGAAAAAATAAGCTAGAAGAAATCCTCGAGTTCTTTGGGAAATGTCACTGTTCAAATTAGAAGCAAAACGAAAAAACCGGCTGGCTGGGTGTACAAAACCAGTGCGGGTTGGCCATGCGTTCCCCCGCATGGCCAACCCGCGAGTGCAGTATGGGAGGGCCCCAGGAAGACGACCAAGCAGGGGAAGAGAGGAGACCTCCCTGACTGGTGCTATGCAAGCCGCAGGTGCCAACTTTTTTTTTCATTCTCATTTTTTTTGGAGGTGTTGCGTCATCCGCAGTTTACTGACACTTTGCTATACTTCGTAATTTTTTCTTGAATTTCGTGGGCGAAGATTCTGCCGTGATTTGGTGGGTAACCAGCTGTAAGAAAAACAGTCACGTCCTTCCCCTTAGCCAAGTATGTGGCTAAGGGCAAACCACATACCAATGGGAACACAGAGGGGAGGGGGAACAGTGCAGGCATTGTTCAATAGGCCTTGAACCAAATGCACGTGGGCCCAGCATACTGCCCAGCAAACCCAGGAAAATGTCAGCGGGTGCTCAAGCATCGTTGCTCCCCTGGTTCCGCGGTCCCTGCTAACCCCAAAAACTCAACTAATTTCAACTCCAACCCACCAATAACTCCACCATACACTTGGTTTAGCGCTTGTGGTTTAGCACCACTAGCGCTGAACCGAGAATGTTTCACATAGCAACACAATAGACCTTTTCCGGAATTCAGTCTGGCCACTTTGATCCTTCTGTTTACTGATGAAGGAAGAAGTTGAAGATGCTTGATAGGATGGATGCTTGGGCGAGTTGGTGAACCATACTTGACGGTGACAGCGCAGGGAAAACCACTCTCACACCAGACACTCAGCGCATGTGCTTGTCTTCCTGAGTGTCTGGTGTGAGAGTGGTTTTCCCTGCACTGTCACCGTCAAATTTGAAGATGCTCCTAAGCAGATGATTCGAGGCCTATACATTCTAGATGTTAGTGCGGCGTGAAGCAGGAATTGGACGCAAGAGCTGCGTAAACGTTCATTTCTAACTCGGTCCCAGTCAATCTGTTAGTAGGACTCACTCGGCTTCAAAGTCCCTTGATGTATAGAACTCTATTAAGGCATCTATGTGGGTTGGCGCTTTGTTCCGACTGGCTGCATTTGTTTCGCCATTGACACTGAAGGAGATTGAAAAATAATTGTAGCGAAGTGCACATTCTCGTTTACCGTCGGCCTTTAAGTGACGGAACCCCATTAAATACTGCAGACCACAGGTTCATAGCCGCCATTAGAATAGTAAACGATAAACTGCCATTTGAGTCACCAGATGGCACTGAATTCCGGAAAGGGTCTATTGCAGGGCAATTTGCAACACAGTTTCTTTATTTTCGTTGAAATAAAATGTTGTGCGTAAGTAAAACACCAGAAAGTATTGAACAATGATTCCGTTTTGCCACTAAAACCAGACCCAAAACTACTGGCTCTACCACTAACGGCAGCATAGATGGCACCGGCAGGTGGAGCCATCTATGCAATGCGACGCAAAGCATACCTGATTATTCCACGTTTCTGCGGGGTCAACGTCTGCTCATAGAGATCAGTCTTATTTTCTTTTAACTTTTGATCCACGTAAGTTCATGTTCTCAAACTTCTTCATTCTGGATTAAATTTATTGCATCAAATCCTGGCGAACTTTCCTCTTTCTGCAAAGCGTAATTTATTTCTGTGGGCGAAAAAGATGGATTTACCTTCCTTGATCAAACCACATATATTCTGGTCGTTTACACAAGTGTATCTTCGAATGGGATTTTTCAAATTTTAGTGCAAATTAGGCGATCAAAGAAGCAATCATAGTGCAACTTAATTGGAGAGGAAACTATATGGGGCATTACTTGGTGTGGCATAAAATAAGAAGTGGATATTTTGCAGGCAGCCGGCATAACAGCTAGGGAAAGATATTGCCGGCTAGCTCCCATCAAGGTACGTCCAGCTCTGCCAATACTTTCTAGACACTCGCGTGGCATTTCCAAAGAGAGAGAGTCTATCCAAATCTTCAATCAACGGCGAGCACGCATGCTACCGTACCTTTGATCGGATTGCCCCAGAAATGCTGCCGCCACATCTGCTTTACGGGGCAGGAGGAGGAGAGTGCGGGGCTTAGGTAATGTTGCCCAGTGTTGAACGTTACGGGATTTAGGCATTCTCAAATTTGCTTTGGCTGCTGGTGCTGCTGTCTCCTGTGTTTATACCCACTTAGCTTTTACAGAGTGCCAGCAAATGCCACATACACCGCCTTTAGGGCCCACAGATTTGGTTCCTCTTTGATCAGAATTTCAAAGACTACAAATTTACTCCTAAAAAAAATTGCCCAACGAGTTTTGTTTACAACTTACAAGGTTCTTTTCACAGCAAAAATAAACTATGCATCGTCGGACGCTCATTCTCCGCCCAAAGGTAGTGTTAGAAGTCCGAACCAGATGCCAAAGTTTCAGCGCAAACCGGTACTTTATTCAAAAGTTATAAATTATTTTCTGAAAATGTCAATGGGAAATGGTGGCCAACAGAGCTCTTGAATACTTCAAAAATTGTGACACAGCGTGCAAAAGGCGAGAACACAGTGTTCTCGTCTTTTGCACGCTGCGTTATAATTTTTGAAGATATGCACCAACTAGCCCTCATCACCACCTTAAAGGAATACTTCAACGAAATCTCAAATATACCCGTCGTGTTCAAAAATGAGTGGAATATGATCCACAATATCCGTAAATAACAATCACATGTTTGTATTTTGAGCCTGGTGGCTGTATTTTTTGTTATAAACGGCCCACTCTGGCAAGCGCTCGGACAGCAGCCAGCGGAGAGTATGTGACATCGGCTGCAATCGTGACGTAGTTCGTCTCGGGACGAGCAAAGCTGCAGCGAGGCTGACGTCGAGAGGAAGTCCTAGTCGTTCCAGCCACCGCAGCGGCTGCTTTTGTACGAATTTTGAGTGACGGGTTAATCTTCTATAATTTTGTAGAGGGATAATAGCGACTCCGGGGTCACACAAAGAGATTCTCGGGAAGAGGAGAGTTCCTCCTTCCCCTCTTCTCTCGTGGTAGCCGGAGGCAAGACAGTTACCGTCACTAGCTGTCAAGGTTCCTAGACGGGCATTACAAATGAGGTGTTAGTGACATCCACCAGGTGCTCTTTGCTAATGGTTTAATTCATTTTAAAATTCCTTTTCGAGACTTTTTTTAACAAGATATTGGTGTGTCCAATGTGATACTGCTCCTTTGAACACATATAGACCAAAAAATAAGCGCCGAAATTTCTTTGTAGTATCCCTTTAAGCAGCTGGCATTCCTTTTTTCAGGTCTATGCTGCGGCTGTCGGCACAATTACACCTGCAAAAGATGCCGGCAGTCGTCATGTAATTGCATAGTCATTTTTTTACCCGGGTTCCTGCGCCGACTGCCGGCAAAATATCTACGTCCAATAAAATAAGTTTTGTGCTGTACCTTCTGTCCTCCCCACATCCATTAAAAAGCAAAACACAAAGAAAGAGAGAGAGAGAGAGAGAGAGAGAGAGAGAGAGAGAGAGAGAGAAAAAGAAGGTACAACGCTTTCTCAGGCAGCCACACTAAAGAACAAATAAAAGAATATACGATACCTTGTCTGCTTTGGCGACCTTGTCGGCAGTATCCGCAAGGACGTATGCACTTGCGACGGCATACGTGAGCCGCACCACATTCACGTGGACCAAAGACCTAAAAGCTTCACCTAATTCGTTCGCGTAACCTAAAAGAGAAAAATAACATTTACGTTGAGTACATCTTGCTCCAACTAACTGCGAAGCTATACACAGTTGCTTCTTTCCTGCTCGAACGTTTGGCCACTTGGCGCTTTTAGACAAAACAAATATGCTACATTAAGAAATTAATGAAAACAGACATGAGGTTAATTATCCCTGCACTTGACTACTCAGGCGACCTGGAGCCAAAATGACAAACACAGCACGGGCTTGTTTACTGTTTACGATCGCAACGCCGCAACGTGCTCCACAACTAGGGTCTTCGAGCTCGAGGTTTTCGAACAGATTCCTTGCCGGCCATCTGTGCAGATCAGAAATGATTGGTAGATTTTACCTAATAATCGGACTGGCGTGTCTCTGTAAATGTCGACCTCCTTTTGTTGATCCGCGTGAACGGGTGGTTCCTGCCGAGTGTTTCCCAAGGTCTTTCCGACCTCCGACCCGCCAGGAACCGCCATGCTTCCGTAAACATTGGCTTGACCGGCTTGGCTTGGATCGAACACTTCTTGTCCATAACGTTGGCTTTTCCTTGGACTTTGAGGCTGTTTTGGCTGTATTACGCAGGTATTACGCAAAAAACATTATTGTGAACAAAGATATGCCTTAAGATTACAAGAAAACATTCAATATGCGTAATGGCCGTTGGTAGCGCTGGTAGTAATCGACAGAACCTGAAAACACATACTTGCACTGGTTTCGGTTTTGCTTTCGTACAACGGTCACTAGTTCTCTTCTGCGCATGCGTACTTTTTCGTGTCCTTGAAGCTCCTCCCACCACTGCACCCACAGCGCCCACAGTGCCACTGACGTCGGGCAAAGCGTACTGGTTCTCTCCTTCGTTGGATCCGTCTTTGAGGAATTGAAGCGACCGGAGTGTTTGCCTTACGTGAGTTTGGGGATGAGAAAGTGTTTGTCGTTGGTCGTTAATGCTTCGTAACGTCGCTGAAGAGAATGCTAACGTTGTACAGTCACCGGCGATGCGGTTATTACGCCTTGAATGCTACGCCTTCTTCGGTGTCTGGAGCCGACAACGGCCAGCAATATTCAATTTCTTCCCGCCCACGTGCCGAGCGCTTTGCTGTGTCGCAGGGACCAAATCTCTCCACAAAGGAGTGCTCCGACGATGCCCATATGTTGAGATTTGGGAGGCTGGGCACCTAAGTTGTTACGGCGACCGGTGTCATTTGCATTCAAATGAACGTAGTACATGTCACGGTTTCCGCTAGCGTCAGACACTGGCTGCCGGCCCACTGTCTTGCGCAAGGGTGTCTCCCACTCATAAATGATGAGCTTTCCATTCATACGCTGGTCGTCATGGATAAGAGCAGAGATACGCAAATGTACCGTTACCTTTTTTCTTTTTGCATATTTTTGCATATTTTCTTGATCTGGCGTTGCTTGTGCGGCTCTGCCGGTCTTGCCGATTTGAACTATTTTTTTTATAGACATCTGCTGTTTTGGCGGAGCAGCAGGTGGATATGGCCACAAACTGCTCTTCGCTTCGAGAACTGCGTCTGTTGTCTCACTGGGAGCCTGTTTTCTTCGTCCTGTCCTAATAATCAGCTACTCGAGGAAATCGTTTCTGGGGTTTTTAACTCGGCGCACCTTTGTTTGACTAAGTGATCAGGATAAGGCCACACGCTGTAACTAACATTTTTTATGAATACAATTGCATCAAACCGGGATTGTAGTTAGGTGTCAAATAAGTTGCTAATTTTGGGCATTTTTTCTTTGGAATCCCAGACAAAAGCTTATTGAAAGAAACTGTGTATGTGACCAAGATTTAAGCATGACTAGTACTCCCAGTGAAGTGCTGCCCTACAGCATGTACAGTACTAATCACACTTGTCTATAATGCGGGAGCGTGCAGCTTTCTTTTTCCGGTGAGCACTAGCCTGGTGGCATTCGCGGCAACTAATCTAGTCGTATGGGCAACATGGGGAACGGTCCGCATGAGGGGTTTCCTGCCAACTTGATGTGGGCTATCACTGAATGTGTGGAAAGCTGCTCGCGTGTTCTTCTTTAACGCAAGATAGCTGTAGCAAGAGAAAACAAAAATAAAGCATGAGGGATTATCAACAACCTGCAGAGAAAGGCTAGCTGTTGATATGTGCACAGTAGCGCACAGCCGATGTGTGAACCAAAGCAGGCGCAAAGCGTGCGAGCATCCTCCCGCGTTTGGCGGCACCCGATGGATAGGTTAGGACACCCCTCGAGCAGACCGTTCCATGTTGCCCACGTGACCAGATAAGTTTCCGCAAATGCCACCAGTCTAGCGCTCGCTGGAGAAAGCCACGCGCTCCTGCACTATGGACAGGTGTACTAGTCTTCACTTCGAGCCTACTTTAGACAATCTCAGAAAATTGTTTTTTTAGCGTACGGCGCTGGGAGGGAAAGTACACACAAATGAACTTGCCTCATTCGATAAAAGGAAAACCTGTTTTGGGCTACCTACGGCAGCATTTGCAGATAGTGTCATGACCGTACTTGCCTAGTTGTATGTGCTTCCGACAGATGGCTCAGTGCGAGACATGAGGGTATGCAGTGCCTTGACTGATCTTTGTACCAAACATGGGGAGCCATGAGGGATTTAAATCCCCGTTTTTCTATTCAGTTTGTTTCTTAAAAGTGAATAAATTGCAGCACTTTCGGAATTCTACATTAGAGAGATCTGTGCCAGCATGGCGAAGATTGTTTGCTAAGCTCGGTGCCGGCGCGCTTGACGCTTCTGACATCTGTCAGAAGCACACGCAACTAGGCGAGCATGGTCATGGCAGTGTGCGAATGCTACCTCCGTAGATTGCCCGAAGCAGGTCTTTCCTTTTTCCTTTTTGAACAAAGCAAGTTCAACAGTTGATATTTTTACTCCAGGCTTCCCCCACACCTGCTACACCTCTGTAATAAATCGCTGCACAATATGTTGAGGACCAGAATTTTGTGGACCGTCTAAGGTGGGGTTCGAAGCGTTAGTGTATATGCTGTATATGGCACCTACACAAATTTTAAGGCAAAGCACAAAGCAGTCACTGCTGATATTATGGGCGATTCTTTCAAAGCTGCAACTATGTCACGGTTGATAGAACAGCGCAAGTGGGAAAGGTTGCTGATTCAGAAACGATACCTCCATATCACAGCAGTGGACACTGAGTATGGTGTCTGTTCTCATGTGCTATTGGCACATCTTAATTGACTCGCTCTTGACTAAATGCGGAGTAGTGTATTTAATATTGGAATAGGATTACCATAATATTTTGAGATATAGCCCAGCTAAAATAGAAAGCAAATTGGGTTAAAATAAGGAGTAAACTAACTTTTAGTGTGCAACAAAAAATAAAAATAATTTTAGATTTTGTGATTGCGATGATCCAAAGACGACTGCCCTTCCCAGTCACCAATATATGTTGGGTCATATCCCGTCGTGGCCAAGTAACACCATTTCTGCCAAGGTCACCATTGGACAAGGGCCTGCAATTACTAGCTGGGCTATCTTTCGGTGTTTTTAGAAAAAAAGCAAATCTTACCAAAAATGGGGGGCGGGTTATCTTTGGGGGTGGGGCATCTCTGGGGACAGTATTACGGTATTTTACAAACTTTTCATTGCTGCCTTGGGATGGCCAAAATGTGGTGGCCCCAATGGAGACGACATGCAGTTTAGATCTTAGTTGTGCGTAATAAATTGAAGGTTTGAGGCAGCCTAAAGTTCTGTCCTTCGGTGGTGTGTGCCAAATGCTCTTCGTCAGCTTAACATGGAAGTGGTAAAACTTTAATTTTTTGCTCTCCATTCGTTAGGAAGTAATCAGGTTTCAGCACCACAAACCAATTGTCCCCAAAATTGCATATTGCTGTTGTCATGACATTACAACTCCCTCGCGATGCAGCCTAAACATAGCGCACCCACAGTGTAATCGAGTACCCAAGCTGTACCCATGTGTTCAAGATGTGCTATCAAAACTGCCTGTGCAAGTTTGGGAGAAAATCAGCTAAAGGGTGTTTCTCATTTAGAGCCTAGAGATAGATTTCACATATGCAATCAACGGTGAAGGAACTCGGGCCCCTGGCACACGGTAAAATTAAACATAACTTCCGTCGAGTGATGTCGTCCGATCAGCCAATCGGCGCCCACCACTCCTTGCCCGGTGCAGTGCGCGTGCAGCGCTCGTAGTTGGGATCGTGAGCCGTTTCGCCGATTGCTCTGTGTCATTCGATGGAAATTGCATTAAATTTTTTTGTTTGGCAGGGGTAATTGACTGTCCCCTTCTATTGACCTACCTTTCGTACGCATGCAGTGCTAAACAGTGCTTATGTGCTCTTGCATGCGTAACCTGTGCCATTGTACTCTAGGTGGGGCTACCAATCGAAGCACCAGCATGTTGTTTCTAACATGTCGGTTGTTTTGCTCCATTCGCCCTTCTTCCTAACTGGAGTCCTAAGCCTCACGCTGTTTGGGCCAATCTAGTGCTTGTAGGGTGCTGTATGATTGGTTCACTGAAAACCTGATCTGTTCAGAAGAGAGTAATCATGGAGATTGCAATACTCCGTCTCCCTGTAACTTTGCAAACGGCGACGACTATGGCAGTAGTGGACCATTGGTGTATTGGTGAAAGACGTGCAACCACTTTCTCACTAGCTAGATGTGGTGCGGCTTTTGTACAGTCTCTTTTGTACAAACTTCCAGTGTCTGGCTAGTCTCCGAGAGGGACAGATGTGTGAAAGATGGTCTGGGTAGGAGGGAAGTTCCTCTCTCCTCCAACTTCTGGGGTTGCACTCTTTTCCCTGTGCCTTTGGTGAGGGCCATTACATGCTCTGCCTCCGCTGCTCTGATTGGATCAAAGGGGCCATAGCTTTTTTCTTTTCGCCAAGTAACAATGAAACAAGTATATAGGCATAGAATCGGAGTGTACCGTTCCAGTCCTGCGCAAAGGCTAGGAGCCAATGCCGCGAGCGAACGGTTTTGCGCTCTGGCTTCCTGCTGGGCAGAATGGTGGGTGAAGTGTATGTAATACTCCTATAATGGTAACCATCAAGTTTGGTGTGCCACAACCCTTTTACAATTCTATTCCGTGTGTCCAATAAAGGCTGTGTTTTGAGTGCACTGTCCTGTGTCCCTGCCTCTATTCCCCGCCTTTGGGCGTTGCTCGCATGACATCCTTCGCTCCCGGTCTGAACAACTGGCTTTTTTTCTGCCTCGCTTCTGGCAGCTCGTTCGACAGCACCTCCAACAGGGACATGCGCGAGTGCATCTCAGTGCACGTGGGCCAGGCGGGTGTGCAGATCGGCAATGCCTGCTGGGAGCTTTACTGCCTCGAGCATGGCATCCAGCCCGACGGGCAGATGCCAGACGACAGGTTGGTGGGCAGCGGGGAGGACTCCTTCAACACCTTCTTCATGGCCACCGGGTCGGGCAAGTATGTGCCCCGGGCTGTCTTCGTCGACCTGGAACCCACGGTGGTGGACGAGGTGCGCAACGGACCCTACAGGTGCGTAGGGGTCTACCCACGTTTGTTATTATGGGGTAGAGATTCAAAAAAAGAAAAGGTGTTGCATGCTCTTTAGACTGCTCTTTGGCCAGGGCCACTAAATAACCTACACTTCAGAATAACACCATTTCAGTTGTCCCAGCGCTTAAAACGATTATTGCCACCTGTCTGGAGGTTTATTTGAAATGCACAGTTTTTCGGAAACCGCCGGTTTCGGGAGGTTCTGGTGTGAAAAAATGCGAGCTCGTGCCCGAGCAAGCATGGGCACTTCCTCAACCAAGGACGCCAGTTCATACCTGCCGTCCGGGAGCCTCCCGAATTTTAATCACATCTCCCGATTGCACGGACGCAACCTCAAATCTCCCCCCCCCCCCCCCAAAAAAAAAACAAACAACCGCCGCAGTTTTTTTTTCTCAATTTTTTGATGTTGTATTGTAGTTAATATGCGCGTGTCAGTGCGAGTTACTTGAGAGCAGGTTTAGGTTACTCCGGTGGGTTACCACGTAAACAAGTCGGAGCAGCAGGGTAAAACGAGGGTAGATTTTCAAACTAAGAGGTATGAAACCTCCACTCTGGAGTAAGTTTGAACGCATTTTGGAACACGGCTTATATGATCGTGGGTGCGCTGGGCTTCAGTTGGCTTTGTCAGGCCGTCAAGTGAAGTACGGCACACCAAACTACCCTGCGTTTCCCGAGTTTAGTTGGAATGATCGATGGCGCTTTCAAAAGTCGGAGAAGTACTTGCAAGTATTTCTGAGATCATACGCAACTGAGTTTCCATGCTTAGTCACTTTGCTTAAAGGTGACAAGCAGGGATTCTGTACCATGTGTGCCTGTGGTGTGAGCGTTTTGCAATATAAATCGCTTCACAAAAGCATCAAAACTGTGTGCCACAGGAGGGCGGGGCACCACATCAGTTTCCTCCAAACAACTTCAAATACGGTGGGATTCGCACAGAGTGCTTCACAAAAATCCTTGTCAAACTAAAAAAGGTTTTTTGATTCCCCCTGCGTGATGGTCTCCCTCATTTTTATGTTGCTAGGTCGGCAGGTATGCCAGTTCCTGCTGGCTCCGTTTAGCTTTAGTGACCTAGAGTGGGCTTTTCCTAAATGCCTATTGTGACCAGGGGCAGATTTAGAGGGGGGGTCCGGATGTCCTGACCCCCCTCTTGATTTCTGCATATGTAAAATTTAGGGCGCGAAACGAGGGAGAGGGGGAGGGGGTTCCTAAACATGGTACACTGACCGACACCTGACCCCCCCCTAGGAAATTCCTGCATCCGCCCCTGATTGTGACTCGTCTTTGTGTCTTCAAGTTTGTTCTAAGACACGATTCCTCCCTCTCCTTCCTATTGTACACATTGTTTCACCCTAAGAATCCTCAAACCCTGTTTTCTGCCAGGTAATGCCAGTTATTTCAAAAATGGTAAATAATAGCAGGGGTAAAGCTCCGGCTATAATTTTTTATTCTCCGGAACCGTTAAAACGGTCTGCGACAGAACAAAATATCGCCTGTGCCTCCCCACACGGATATAAAATTACGGAAGTAGCATTGGGTGCATTCAGCAGCGGCTCTGCCTCAGCTCCGAACGGAGTAACTGGAGTCGAAGTTCTCTCGTCTAATGAACGGCAAAAAAGCGCGGCTCTTCAGCTGCTCCTGTAAAGTTTCCGTTTCCTTTCATGTGGCAGACTGACCCCAAATAAAATGGAAGCAGACGACGCCGAACTCAATAGCTTTTATTTGACGCTGGTGTTGAAAGAGTTTTGACACGGCCGTGAGAGAAAAAGCGAGTGACTGTAGACATCTGCGCTGCTGTTCGAAGCGATCCAAAGCTATCGAGCCTTCCGCAAAGTGGTGCAAGGGCCGTTTGGTGTATCTATGCCGCCGGTTGCAATACCGGTGGCGGAACAAATGTATATGGCTATACGTTTGTTCTTCACTTTCTTACAAACTTCTTATAAAATGTATTCGTACACACGGAAAGTCGACCACGCTTGACGATCAAGGTTTTGTCGGCCAATGCGATAGCCAGCAGACGTCTTGTACTCGCATACGCTCCAATTTATCTAAACAAACAAAACATTAATCGGGATCATCTTCTGTGAGAGTGTCCAACTGTGCACCAAAGTCAGTTTCATACCCTGTGTGATGTTATAGGTTCAGGTCAAACCGCCGAAGGAGGAATTCAGTTACACCGTGAGCTTTTATCAATATATATATATATATATTAATAAAAGAAAAATAAGAAACATTCTAGTTATACACAAATGTACAAGTCAAAAGCTGTCTCACTTTCAGTCCGTCCTCGTGTGTCTGAGGGTCTTGGTGCTGTCTGGTTTCCAGTAGAGCTTGGTTGTTGATAAATGATGTTCCTTGTGGTCCTTGTTGATGGTCTGGGATGGTCTGCTCCGAGACACCGCCGAAGTCGTTCCCAGTGATGTTCCTTGGGTGTTCCTTGATGCTGGCCTGGGATGCTCTGCTCCGGGACACCGCCGAAGTCGTTAATCGTTCTTACCAGCGGCTACTTCGGGTCGCTGCCGAATGCCTGCATTCATGCAGGATGTTGACGCTTTGGTTGCACACCGCCAAGCTGATGTTTCACCCAACAGTAGTACCCTCTGGATGTCGCCGGGTGTGCTTCCACCTGGACGGGTTACCGCCGAACGAGAAACCTTCTTCCTCCTTTCCGCCCACTTCTCCTCGGACCTGCTTCCTCGACGTTTTCCTCTTCTGCTCCATTTCTCTTTTTTAGCACGACACCCTGCCTTGCTCTATTCAGTACGGACAGGGCTAGTGTAGATAAGCTCCTCGTTTTTGGCCAATGGCGGTCAAAACATGGTGCCAAATTAATGTTTACACAGTTTATTAGCATATCCAAAACAACAATTTACGAAAGGAGCGCGACCTGGTGCACAAAACAGCCGATGCAGCCTCTACTGCCATTTTGTTTTTTTCTTTCTTGGCACCAGAACTCTGTTCGCAATCTGGAAATACGTCATACCTTGCTCTCTCTCAACTCCTTGTGCACAGTCTCCGGACCCGGTGCCTGGGAGCTTGACTAAGAGAACTCAGAGTTACGTGCGCCGGAAGTCTGTTTTTTGCCGGCTAGTGGAAGGAGTGTTGGCTCCTTGGCTCCTGGAGCCGCTACTGAATGTGCCCATTTTCTATTTGCAACGATCGCCGACTGCACCAGCTCTGCACCAAGTGCTATGATTGCAGATCACACAAAAAAATCAAGGAATAGAAAGTCGGTACCCTGAGTGTAACTTAATCAGTGGCTCAAGGCAGACCTTTGGACGACTCTCCGGTGGGGTGACGTTTCGGAACGTGTCTGAAGAGGAACGACGAAGTAGACCAAGAAACCTTATGAGACAAGTCTCGAGGCATCTCCTCGAGACTTGTCACAAGACCTCAGCTTGCAATAACTCGTAATCTCAAGATAATTTCCAGCTTGCAATGAAACTTGGGTCTTCGATCTGGCTTCAACCATATTCCGAACCGCTTTTAGAGCCTATCTACAAGTGCAGTACTAAGCTCGAGGAAAGAGAAAAAAAAAAAAGTAAAAATTATGATTTGAAAAACAAGCGAATTCGTGAGTCCTTAAAGCCAGACTGTTTTTCTTGTGGCGTAAAATAGATTTCTTCTCTGGCCAGAAAAGTAGGAAAATGTGGTGGTCGTCATTAAGGAATAAAAGCCACGTGTCACTATCTTTCTGGCGTCTTTAAGGCATAGGTTGCGAAGCCTGCCATTTCATTTGAGGGTCCTTTTGCTGGACCCGTTGGGACCGTGTCGCATGTGGGTGGCCTACGTGGCCACATCCCTCCCAGACAGGGTGCGCCTGTTTTTCCACGTATAGTTGACACCTACTTCAAATGGAACGAGGTCGTACTGCTCCTTTGCGAACGCCCTTTTGGCCGAGGGCCTGGGTGACCTCATTTTTCTCAGAATCAAGCCTCGGTCACATTAAAAAAGAGATAAGAATGAGCAATTGAAGGTTTGTCATAAGTTAGCTTATCTTGTCTATGTAACCATACTTTTGATATTCACAAGGGCGCATACCCCTAAGGAAGACTTGGAATTATCAGACTAATTTGGCAAAACAGAGGAGTTTGGGGATTTGGTCAGTAATTGTTCGTTACCACGCTTTATTCAAACAAACAACTAATAGATAAGTAACTAAAATGTTGTCATAACCTTTTGCTCTATCGGTAGTACTGTCAATAACAGGTTTACCATTATATTGATATAAATAAAAGTGCTAATAACTTGCATGTTTTTGTTTTGAGCTCCCAGGATGCCACAACTTGCAGTAGCGCCCTGTCGCAGTTGTTGTCATTAGCAAATGTTTTAGACCTTTTTTATTGTCCTTTCTAGTTGAGAAATTTAGGTAAAATAGTTGGGGGAGAGGCTAGGAAGATAGGAGAGTTTAGAAATGCAAATATGGGTAAGCACCTGGTACACGTGCCGTCAAGGAAATATGGACTGCTGTTGGGTTCACGGCTTTCATAACTGCCGAGGCGTTTTTCTCTCAATGGGGTCTTTGTCTGCGGCGAAAGGTAGGACAGTGATTGATAAAGTGTCAAGATCGCTTTCACTCTACAAGGAAACAAAATCTGATGAATTTCGTGAAGGGCACCTACAAAAATGCACATGAAAATGTGTCTTTCTGCAAATTAAATGTAGAAACAAGCTGGAGTCCACACATATTTGCTGCACTAGACGTGTGCTGCACAATGCATTTTCTCGAAGTGGCAAAACGTGCGAGCCCATAGTATTTCCTATTTAAAATGAGCCCATGGTATTTCATTTTGTGCAGCATACATTCATATTTTTCTTTGGTGAGATCAATTTTTAACTAAGCTTGTGTCATATGTGATTCGCATCATGCCTATCTTAAAGGGATGCTGAACCGATATTTGGATTTCACAGAATAAGCTTGCAGAAGTGCTCAACAAAGCGCCATAAACCACCAAACATCACTCATATCTCATATCTCGAGCGGATGGCCGTACTTCTGGAAAATAAGGGAGCGAATGAGGGAGAATGTTGACGTTCTCTTATCGCAGAAGAGTTGAGAAGGAGGAGAAATGGCCTCACTCCCTTTCCTCTCCGCGTCCTTGCGGAGTCAAAGCAAAAAGAGGAGGAACTGAGAATCGCAAGGTTACGCGTCTTTACAACCTTGGGCAAGCGCGCTCTTCTTTAAAAAAAAAAAAATAAATACAACGGTACGTTGGAGGGACTGCTCTGTTAGTGACGTTTTGGGATTTATAGCGTCCCGCCTATCGACTCTGCGTTGTTTTCTGAAATTCAATTTTCTATTCAGCATCCCTTTAAGTATAAACTAAAACAACTTCAGAATTAGGCCACATGCTTTGTTCTTAATAACTACGACCCTTATGCTAGCAAATCAGCATTGAAAGCCGTGCTAGAATGGAGGAGGCATAAAATCTGAAAGAAAATATCTGAGACTCTAGTTTTTAATCATACATTTTACATGAATACTGGAATAGATAATAGAGAGTATCTTTTGGAGCCTTCCTACGCCGCTTCTCGTAAATGTCCCAAGAAGTGTGGTGTATGTAGCTATAGAACACTGTTTTGCAAATTCATTTTTTCTGAAGACTCCAGAGAGTAGACAACCTTCTGAACAGATCGTGCGCATTGAAGACAATGACATTTTCTTTTACCCGCTTGTACAGAATAACCCTCCTACAATAATGCCTATTAGGCAGTGTAGGTACAATGCGACTAAAGAAATAAATAAATCTCGAAAGTAACCATAAAATCTTTGTGCCTAACATGCTAAGTATGCTTTAGATTTAAACCCCGGTGTTTATAACACGTAAGATGGGCATTGGTTTTTCGGTCTGTGCACTCTCGCGAAGCACATCGAAGAAAAGGCAGCGTTAATATTGGCTTGAGGCCAGAACTAACTTGCCCGTTCAATCAGCGTTTTGGGCCAGCAGCAAACAGCACAGCCGCCCGCCCGCCCGGACAGGCAATGTTCGGAGCGTGTTCTGTACTCCGTTCATTGCCGAAGTTTGGCGATTTCTCTTGCACTCGTGGGTGCAATGACGAAAATTGAGTAGCAGTAATGAGGGGGGGTTAAACTCTCGGTTGGAGATGTGTTTTGAGCTCCGTAGCGCAGCGGTGCTTGGAGCACATCTTGGGCTGGTGTGTTTGCCGCATCCTAAAAAGTGGTCTCTCGACTTCCACCTGATGATGTCGTAGAAGTGTCGTGTTGTTTGCCCGAATTCTTTTCGCCGACTGGAAGGAGCGCGCCATTTTCCAACGCGACACATTGGCTTCTGTTACATATTGGTGCGTGCATGGCCAAAAGGAAACACCATTCTGTACTTCCAGAACTTACTCTTACCCCAAATGTCTGATGCTCGAATGTTCTAGTCCGAATGTACAAGATAGTGTAATGGATAAGAAGACCCACACGGGCCTTGCTGATTTGGTCTTGTTCTGGCCAGCGGTCGTGCAGACGCCGCAACGTTCGCTTCTACTTTTTTGACACCCATTTTCTTTCTTGTTTCCGGCACAAGTTCCCTGATTAAACCTTTATTTTTAGTTTAACGAAAATAAACTTGGAGCGGGTTGGTAGGGAGGATTTGAAAAACAGAAAAGGGTGAAACATGTAGGGATGAAGATTTACAGTGCAGTTCTTTCAACTAGCAACTGACACTTAACGATGCCACCTCCAATGCTTCAGCCCTTCCCCTTTCTGAGTGATTTGGGAGGGGGGGGGCGGCGAGGGGGCTGACACATTGAGGGTGGTGTCGTTAATTGTCGGTTGCTAGTTAAAAGAACTGTACTGTCTGTCTTTGTCTCCACATGTTCTATCTTTCGTGTTTTTCAAATAATTTAGTTTCACGTTTGTCAATCCTTTTCCATCTGCCACAGTATTTTGTTGTAAATTCGAGACCACTTTTTATGTGTGTGTTAGATAAGACATTAAACGAGCCGGCCAAAGACACGTCCCAGGCCCCGCAGCTCTCTCATCTCTGAACATGTTTGCCTTGTCCCCGCAGACAGCTGTTCCACCCGGAACAGATGATCACTGGGAAGGAGGATGCGGCCAACAACTACGCACGTGGCCACTACACGATCGGCAAGGAGATCGTGGAGATTGTGTTGGACCGTGTCCGCCTGCTGGCAGAGCGCTGCACGGGCCTTCAGGGCTTCCTTGTCTTCCGGAGCTTCGGGGGCGGCACGGGGTCGGGCTTCGCCTCGCTCCTCATGGAGCGACTGTCCGTGGACTACGGCAAGAAGTCTAAGCTGGAGTTCGCCATCTACCCAGCACCCCTGGTATGAAGTTTAGACCTGTCGAGAGGCGAGGCTCAACGTCAACTCATTGGTGTTACAATGTCGAGGCCAGTGTTGGGAAGTTAGTTTGTTCTTAAAGGGACCATGGAACAACTTTGGAATCAAACTTCATCCGCCGCACGTCGTAAATGGTGTGAAAAGAAACACAAAAATAGAGCCATAAAACATTCTTCGCTATGGAACTTTTGAAAGAAAACCGAACCCTTTTACACCTTCTTTCCTTCGAAAGCTATCTCCCTCTTCACTGCAATGCATCCGTGGAACCGCAGCACGTCAGCCAAATCCACGTCGTCTATTGGGTAAGAGCCTACCTCACCAGCACAGCAATCATAAACAATAAATAGCCGGCAAATGTTTTCTAAAAGTTTTGTTGAATAATATTCCTATCTACATTTTTTAGCATAATTAGAGATGCGACGAAAATTGACGAATTCGATAATGCTCAGAGCCAAGTGCCATCTACCGTAATTACCCGATTCTAACGCGCCCCCGATTCTAACGCGCACCCCGTTTTCATACCCAAAATTCAGGATTCTAACATGCCTACGATTCTAACGCGCACCCGGTTTTCATGCGCAAAAAAAAATCGGTGCTTGTGCACAAAGAACAAGCGAAGTTTATTTACATGTAAGCACTGTGCTCGTAAGCATATCACCCGTCCTCACTTTTGGACAGCTCTTTGTCGCTCTCCACGTGCAACAGCATGTCGTCCTCGGTGCCGTCCAGCGCGTTCAAAATTCCGCACTTCTTAAACAAGCACCTGTCCGTGGCCGCCCTGTCCGTGGCCCGTTGAATCCTTTCTGGGTCGACTTGCTTGCGAAGATATTTTCTCTTTGCCTTCGCCAGTCACGAACACAAGTTTCGGGCACACCGAAAGTGCGCGAAGCGGCTCTGTTGCCGTTCGTCTCGGCCTCGTAATGAAAACACCGCGCCTTAGCTGGTGCGGCGGTCGTTTCAGCTCCGCAAACGCTGACGACTGACAACAAAGCAAATCGCTAGAGCAGCTCCTCAGGTTGCGAAATCCAAGACGAGATTGCGACCACGAACCACGAGACCACGTGTGTTGCGCTGTCGCGCAGAGAGCGCAGAGGCTGGCTGCGCAGCCATCTTGTATTAGTGATGACAGTGAGACTGCCGGTAGCATGATTTCGGTTTTTGTTTCGGTTTCGTATCCGATCGTAACGCGCATGCCATTTCTAGCTGTATTTTTCTTGAAAAAATGTGCGCGTTAGAATCAGGTAATTGCGGTATCGTGTGGTAAACGAAGCAAGAGAAAGACCCGACTGCACCTGCGCAATCAACCCACGAGCGTCGTCTGCTGAACGGGTTTGCTCTTGGTCGCGCTTTCTTCGCAGAGCAGACTTTCGTTTCCTGGCTGCTCGAGTTGTGTTTACATTGTTTGTGATTGATCGCTCGGTTGCTATGCCGAAAGCCTGCAGTATACCGAAGTGCCCGAATTACAGTTTCTGCAGTCCGGTGGTCAAAAACAAACAGTTGCAGTTTCATTGCTTGCCACTTGATGAACCACATCGAAGCACTTGGTGCAGGCCCATCAGTTTGAGGGACCCCAGGTTTAAGGTCATCCGTGTATGCTCGGATTGTTTTGACACCGAGCGCGAATACAGCCACATTCCCAGTGTTCTCCGTGAATGTGGGCAGGTTCCAAAACCAATCCGCTGATTACAATGAAGAACTGGAGTCTTCGTCAGAAAACTCGCCGCACTTCTCAACAGGCATACCGGCGTATGCCTGTTTGGAATAGCAACATATCTAATTAAATTTCACTTAGCTGCGATGTGTCCATGGCTATCGCGGCGATGGGAGGCATTGATTCAGAAAATATGTCGGTGTCATCTGCGCCATTGGCGCAGTAAAACCTACCGGCACACCACCAACTCGCTGCCGCTAATGCTCCCATTCTCCTACTGCCGAGAGAACTTCTGGTTCCGATGTCGGCGGACATCACGACCGTCAAAATTACGCGGCAGCTTGTTTTGCGGTGAGTTGGAGAGGAAGAAAAAGTCAATATTTCATTAATTTTTTGTGTAGAGGTTAATAAACCGAAACGAAAACAAATGCCTGTTCGGAATTCAGTGAATATTGAAGGATTAATGTAAAAGTTATTTGGGCAAAAGTGAAAAGGTCATTTCATGGTCCCTTTAAGGTACTACTTCCAGTAGGTTTAGAAAACTTGTACTTTGCATGAGGTACGTTCTCCGAGTGTGTACTTGCACTTCACTTGCAGAATTTTTTCTGGCACTTTCCGGGGAGAGTACAGCTACAGACTTCAAAGTACATACCCCTAAATTTTAGAACAAAAATGGCGTATCGTCATGTGAAAACATGCTATCGTCTTTAGAGACGTTGTCTGGCCGTTTCTCCGAGTGAAGTAATGGTGGCTATAAGACCGATACAAATAAGTGCCTTATAAGTTGTTTAGCCCTAAAGCAATGCATGCCAGATAGAAAGAAAAAAGAAACCGTGAAATATTTTGTTAAAAATACTCGTACTTTACTTCGAAAGTACGATGTATTTGTAGTACTTCACTTCAAGTACATGGTGCCCGTCATATTATCACGATCAATATGGGTGCGAACACTGCTCCGCGTAGGCTGCGGTACTATCAGTGCCCCCTGGCGATTGCTCTTTGAAGTATAAGTGCACCTTGCGGTCGAGACATATTGTCTCTAGCGATCGCCGCACCACTTTGCGCTTCCGGGTTGTCTGCCAGCAAAGAACGGTCGGCGAAATTATGAAACTGTTCACCAATGACGAAGCACATTTTTCGCTAGCAATGTGTGCCAGCAGAAATAACTTGTATACACTTTTTTCGTTTAGCCTCATACCCAGCCACGTTGTCCCCATATCCTGTATGCGTTCCGAAAAAAAGCAAACGATTTCAACCCTGAAAAAGAAAGAAAAGTATGGAAAGGACATAACAAGAAGGAATGATGGTTGCAATTAAAATGTTAACATGCTCTGGTGGTGAGGCGAGAGGAAAGCTATGTTTCCACGCATACCAAAAGTTCCTGAATTGAAGATGGCGACGCCCACGTAGAAAAGGTGTATAAATATTTTTAGGGTCGTCTTTTTGATTAAGAAGTTTTAGTAGATTATTCCCATGTTTCCGATAACAATACCCGATACTTTGCCGACGCCCTTAAGCATGCATCATATTGTTAACGAAAAACAACTTCGAAAAAACGCAGGGACACAAAGAGAAACAGGACAAGGTGCACTCTTAACTGAAGTTTATTGAAAATGACAAGTTAATATAGCCGCAAAAACCTTGTTATCCTTATCTATTCAGCCCACATTTCAAAAATTCAAACTCATCTGTAGATAAAGATAGGTACCTGTCACTTATACATTTCTTCTCCCTGGTCCTAATTTCAAATGCCTCGTGTAATTCTCGCGACACTTTATCTTTATATCTAGCCAAATCTTGGTGTCATTGAAGGCCGGGGTGCTCGAGCATCACTTACAATGAACTGCAAGATGCCCTGAAGGCGAAGACATAGGTGGGCCAGACGGGCAGGTGCATTAATAATCGCACCCATAAGCACGCTGCCTCCCTCTACAAGCACAACACCTTCGGAAACGTTTGGTAATCTTGGGAATTCGTAACAGAGTGATCCTTATTACATCACCTCTAGCAATTGTTACAGTTGGTATACTGTGGGAGAAATTGAAGATTAAAGAAAGTCGAAAGTATGGACTCCGGTCCATACTTTCGATTTTGGGATTATGACTGTTTTTAGTGCAGTCAGCGTCCCTGAATTGAAAGGTGTAATTTTTTTCTCGTTATTGTGCATAGTTTTAAAGATATCGACGTCTCAAAGTTGTGTTTGGGGCGCGGCCGACAAAACCGAAACTAGCCGCTCGAGGTTCCGGCAACATTGGAAATCAGCCGCTATGTGGACGTGACGTCATGGTCGTTCTCGTTCAACGAGCACGCAGGCCGAGCGGCACCTACGGCTACGTCTGTTGCGCTAGCCGTCTAAAAATAGAAGGTAAGCTGGTTTTGTTTTAATTCTGCATACGTGGTAGTTATCCAGCACATGTAGCAAGAGTTAGTGAGTATACCCAAAAGCTAGGGACTGGAACACCCGTCAACTCGTTCGGTGCCGTGCTCAGCGGCTGCCGCCGTGCGTGCGCTATGCCGTGCCGTACTCGTCGCTTGTATACCCAAAAGCTAGCGACTGGAAAACGAGTGAACTCGTTCGGTGCGTACTCGGCAGCTGTCGGCGTGCGTGCGGTCTCACGTATTCGTCGCTAGGCCTAAATTGTCATCGGGAGTCCGTGGAAGGAGCGGCGTTGATCTACGCCGCGCTGCCAGTGACGTACAGTACTGGGGGCCCTCTTGCTTTCGCGCTGCGGGTCAGTCCCAGACACAAAGGTTTGACGCTCTCTGGCGCGGGCCGCGACACTTGAACAGACGTGTGCTAAGCTGTAGACGTCTGTTTTTTCGTTCTTTTTTCCTCAGGCGCGTAAAAGCCGAATTTTGAAGCTATGACACTAATTCACCACGTAAGTTCGTCTAGGTAACAGTGGCCTCACAAGGGGGGGTGTTGGTCGCGGCGGGCTACCGCCCCGGGTGCCGCTGACCCTCGTGACGCCAGTGCTAGATAGTGAATCTAATTTGTAAAAATAAAATAACTTGCCGCACTGAAAAAAAAGGAAAGAAAGAAAAGGAAGTTCTTTGGGCAGTCATTTTCTTCTCAAAGCTAGCTAAAGTTTTTGTGGGTGATAGAGGAAAACAGAGAACGTTAGCAAGGTGAGAACACTTTCTTTCCCTTCCACATCCCCCCCCCCCCCCCCCCCACAATAACAATTTTTTTTATTGAAATACGTAGGATCTTAAAAGTTTCACTTCGTAACTTTTTGACTTAGGCAAGTGTTTTTTTTTTTGTTTTTTTTTGCATTTTTAAATATATTTACCTCCAGCCGGACTCGGGTAAATTAGAGTTGTAACTTACAAATCCGAACTTTCGCGATTTTTTGAAAGTCCTTTGTGGTATCCACAAGCCCAGTGGTAATTAATACTGCTGCGTAACGGGTTCGAACGATTGGGATGCGAATGTTTATACCGCATAAGCTTCACGCGCCGGCTGTTCGCTAGTAGTCGTTACGGACCTTTGTATTACTCACGAGATAGCGTAGTAAACAAGCAGTGGCACAAAGCAGAACATTCTGTTTTCCTTTTCATTATAAGCCACCAGCAACCAACACCCGTAGGTTTCGTTCGTAACTCTCCGGCGAAAAATGATCGGAGCAGAGCTTCGATCTGGGGGTCGGTGTCCAAGGCTTTCCAAAGTCCACTCGTCCAACAGCGTTCATCCACACCTTCTCCGATTTCTGATCCGTTGGAAACTTGTGAAAGTTTCCAACGGATCAGCGCAGTTGTTGCGCAGCGGGTTGTTTGAGCAGCCCACAGCGCTACAAGTTGTACTCGGCAAATATCGAGGAACAGCCGGGCAGTCTTGGGCGCACCGAGTTGCTCGCTAAAACGAGTCTTGGAGTCCTCACAAGCAAATAAACAAAATGCTATACCGAAGCTACACGGGCTACAGATAAAAGCAACGTAATCACAAGCCAAAGTAGCGGTGGTAGCGGCACAAAGAAGCGCGCGCAACGTGTGCGCCGTGCGCCCGTCCGGAACGGAGAAAAAAAAAAAAAAAAAGAGAACGACTATGACGTCACGGTCCAATGTTGCTTGAGCGATCGGCAACCCGCTGCCCGCCCGCTAAGGAGCAGCGGCTCGCGGCGGGTCGTATTTTTATTATCGGCATTAGTTGAGAATGCGGCGTCTCCCGGACGTAATATTTTGGCTGGGGTTGTTCTAACTGGTATCTAAAGCGATACCAGTAATTTAATTCATTTCGAGTTTTGGCCGGAGTTGCCCTTTAAAGTGCTTTGTGGCTAGCGAGGAAATCGACATACTAAAAGTTGAAACGGAGGCAGAAAAAGGGGATACACATAGTCGGTGTTTGAGATATGGCGTTGTTGAGTTTGAGATGTTGTATTTGTCCTTCCTTTTTGCCTCCATCTCAGGTTTTAGTACGTCGATTAACAACAAGCTGCCTGCCTGAAAATGTTGTCTACCTAGCAAGGAAGTTTAGAGGTCTACCATGTTGGGCCTGTTGAAACACTTCAAGCTAGTAAAACTCTTCCTTATTGTTTGTTTAGACTGAAACCAAAACATTGGCACTTGCTGCAATAAAGCCAGTAGCCTGTTCATTGTTAATTACGGGAGAATGTACCACCATAGGACCTGAATGCTACAGAATGATTGTTTGATGGAGTGACAAGCCACAGTATGGAGTGCCACGCCACCGAAAACAATCCGGTGACTCTTGTTTACTGTCATAGTCGTTTATGCATTGCCCCCCTTTTTCCTTTGGCCAGGTGTCCACAGCGGTCGTGGAGCCCTACAACTCCATCCTCACGACGCACACAACCCTGGAGCACTCAGACTGTGCCTTCATGGTGGACAACGAGGCCATCTTCGAGATCTGCCGCCGCAACCTCAACCTGGAGTTTCCCAGCTACCGCAACCTGAACCGCCTCATCGGTCAAGTGGTCTCGTCTATCACGGCCTCGCTGCGTTTTGACGGAGCCCTTAACGTTGACCTGACTGAGTTCCAGACCAACTTGGTGCCATACCCGCGCATCCATTTCCCGCTGGTTACTTACGCCCCTGTAGTGTCGCCTGAGAAGGCCTATCACGAGCAGCTGACGGTGGGCGAAATCACCAACTCGTGCTTCGAGCCGGCCAACCAGATGGTGAAGTGTGACCCCCGCCACGGCAAGTACATGGCCTGCTGTCTCCTGTACCGGGGAGACGTGGTGCCCAAGGACGTGAACGCAGCCATTGCGGCCATCAAGACCAAGAGGAGCATCCAGTTTGTGGACTGGTGCCCCACTGGCTTCAAGGTGGGCATCTTTTCAGTTCTTACCATGGAATTTCCCTGCTTTGGGGCTTTACGGGTTAATGCTACCACAAGCCTATTCAATTGGTTTCTGGCTCGGTTGTTGTTCTCGGTGTCGGACTCCGTCTTGGGTTCGGCAGGAAAACGTAACTACTAAAACGAGCGATGCCTATTTAATTATGCAATGTTGTATGGCGCCTGGCCTGACAGGCACTCCTGCAACAAACTTATGCACCCTCACTTTGTCATCTCTAATGGATAGATTCTGCAGCCATGTTGCAATATTAGCAAGGTAAGCTAAACAACAAGGTGTGTTGTTGGGCTAGTTGGTTGTTCCTGTTGAAATGGTATTAAAGCAACGCAAAAAGACTAAGGACCAGTAAAAGGAGAACACAGATGGAGCACGGACTTACAACTAAAAAGTTTGCTTGTGCAGGGTACAGCAAGTAAACATGAAAAGAACCGGCTAGACACAAAAACAATCAAACCAATAACACACCCCTCCCCCATTATGCCGACACATGCCTACACATACTTACCAACTTCCTAACACAATCAACCTCCTCACTCGCTAGGGCTATGGACGGAGTGCTTACGCACATGCCCGCGTCATAGCTAGCAATAAAAAAGGCCTAGTCAATTTCCCTGGCAAACTTGCTTCTGTACCGCGCTAATATCCCAATGTCTGATATTTGATGACATTAGGATCTTAGTATTTGTGTGTTAGCACTTTGTTCATAGCCCTAGCGAGTGACAAGGTTGTTTTTATTAGGAAATCGGGCAAGTATGTGTAGACGTGTGTTGGCATGATGGGGGAAGGGTGTGTTATAGGGTTGATTGTTTTAAAGCGAATGCATTAACTGTCTCATAGAGCGAGCCGACGTCATCAGCTTTGACACCACGCCAAACGGCTCTTTTACACCGCTTCGATCCCATTGGCTGGCGTGTGTCCACAGCCAACGGCACCTTTTACACCGCTGCAATCTCCTTGGCTAGCACGCGTCGACCAGGCTCCCAATCATCGGACACACAACGCCATAGAGTGGCCGGTCGTTGAAACTGATGCACAGCGTCAGTTTCAACGACCGGCCACCTCATGGCACTGCGTGTCCGTCAGCGCTAGAGTTCCTGTATAGGCTCCCTAAGGGAGCCAAAGTTGCGCGTCTGTTTTCCACGTGCCGCTGCGCCGCTATTTGCCGAGATCCAATCACATGAGGAGCCGGATCAAGTGCCGTGCAGGAAAGCAGACGTTGCACTTGTCCCGCACACTTTCTCTTGCTTTTGAGTGCGCCTCGAACGCGCAGCGCCGCTATTCGCCGAATTCAGTCACAGGATGAGCGGGGGATCAACATGTTGTGCAGGAAAGACGGTGCTACAAAGAACTCTGGCTCCCGTAGGGAGCCTGTACAGGAACTAATGGGCGCGCCAACACGCGTAGAGCAAGATTGATGTACATGTTTTCTCATTCACAACTCGTAAGAAGTGCTTAGGTGTACCTCGACTCTTTTGTGTCTACTGTCGAGACCGGCTATAACGAAGTCAACAAGAATCGGAAATCACTTCACTATATCTGCTATTTCGTTATAACAGACTTCGGATTACGAAGTGCAAAAAGGAATGGGAAATCGTGATCGCTTCGCGGTAGCCGCTATTTCGTTATAAACGGTCTCGACAGTACCCGGTTCTTTTTGTGTTTACTTGCTGTAGCCTGCACAAGTAAATTCTTCAGTTGTAAGTCGGTGCTGGGTCTGTGCTCTCCTTCCACTGGTCCTTCACCTTTTTTTGCACTGCTTGAATACCATTTCAATGTAAGCTAAACATGCTGTTTGCCTGTGAGCACTATGCAGTTTGTCATGGAATGCTCTACAGGTCCTTTGTAAGGTTAAAGAATCCATGGATTACAAAGGGTGCATTGACCCCTTTACTTTTCCTCGAGGATCGCCTTTTACTTTTTATATGTTGCATGTTGGTCACTTGTCAACACACCCAGCCTTGGGGTTTTCCTTTGATCAGAGAGGGAAATTTAACTTGACTGGCTTACTTTATGTTGCTAAATTCTGGCCTATGATATTACATTAAATTTTTCAATTATGCTACCAATGCCACCAGGATCCACGAAGATGGATTCCACTGGCAAGTACACAATCATATGCCAGTGCCTTGTGCAACTGAGGTTCTAAAGGAAAGTCAAGAAGCTTGAATGTGATTGGCCACCAATGATGTGAATGAGACCATATTCCACCTTAACAGCTTAGCAGTCTTGTGAGGGGCATGGGTGCGAGCGTGTAGCTTCAGAGATGGCTTTTTTTTAAGAGCTTGTGTTAACAAAGCATTCTGCATTGCTGCAATGCACACAACTTGCTCTATCAAAGGAATGCATCATCTGCAAGTGCTGTGCACAACCTGTGTATATTAAACACTTTACAAAACATGTTTGAAGGGCAACTCCACTCAATTCCAGAAAATTCGGGGTAATGAGTGATCTCCTATTAAAAGGCACTATCTAATTTTTTTCGCTTCGCGAGAAATGGGACACATTTTGTTAAATCTGAATTTAATCATCAGCAAAAATCGAAACCGAAGCTTCGTTTCCGTCGGGCAACATTGGTCCCCTTTCCGCCAAAAGCGTGGCTTTTACGTGGTACAAGATGTCACGTGATTTTCTACGACAACTGGCGGGATAAGGGATAGGCCATTGTTGGGCCAGGCGGGCATGTGCCAGGTGCAGAGGTGCAAGTGCCGTCTGCACTGCAGTCTTTGCCACGTTTAGGTGTCTACGATATCCGATGACGTCTACACAACTGTGGCATCAGTGTGTGCACATAGTGTGAACAAAACTCTGAGAGATAATATTCACAAACGATGAGACGACGACGGCGGTTGAACACTCCTGCTACCTTATTTTGTGAAATTCAAATTTCGGTTCAGCATCCCTTTAAAGGAACGCTAACCAGGGTGTCTAGCGACCGGAAATTGTCAGGGAAATTTTAATTACCAGGAAAAGTCAGGGAATTGTCTGGGAAATTGTCAAAAAACGTTTCCAGTCAGGGAAAATGAGCTGGAAACGCCATAGAGTGCCCGTGAGCAAAGACTTGAGGACTTTGGGGGCAGGAATATAGGCGATAAATTCTGCTTAAAGCGAGGCGCGGGCTCTGCTCACCCGATGTAGAGTGTGCTACCCGATCCAAAGAGAACAACCGACAAATCCAGTCCAAGCCTTGGATTGGATTGGATTGAGAGCACGACATTAGGCTGGATCCAGTTAGAGCTACTAGATTTAGTAACAATTGGGAAAGCCGCAGACCCCAATCCAATCTAAGCCCTAAGCTGAAAGTATCTGAAAGTGCATCTGGCGGCCATGTTGCCATTCGGTTATTGACGTGTGGTTGAGCGTCGTGTTTTCATCGTGTTTCCGCAAGTGGCATTTCACTGACGATGTCAGCGGCAGGAAAGTGCTCGTTTAATCCGGACTGGACGAACCCAAATATTTCGGAATATGCGAGTTAGATTAGGCCCGTGCAAAATGATCCTCATTGTGCTCGATGCTCAATGCCTTGTGTTTTAATGGTCTTATATATTTAACCGCCTCTAGAGTGATCAGGGAATTTCAAAAGAATAATTTGCTGAACACCCTGACTCGCACCCCCCCAAAAAAGATTTTTTTTCTTTTTTTGACATGCGATTTATTATTGTTTTAGAGGTCTACCCAATTAATATTTTGCTACGGTGTCACATACATTTTCAGTGAAGTAAAAAAACGCTACTGCTCGAAAACGAAACTGAACTGGGGAGGAAGAAGAAATATAGCAACTTTTTTTTTTTTTTTTAATTTTTTCAATCAACGTATTACAGCTTTTGGAAGCCACAACAAATGGGTATCATATTTTTTGTCCATTTCTAGTATTGAGTGTGCCTTCGATGGCCCACGACTTTGATTATCTTTGGTGGTTATGTCTAAACCATAGAAAATGGCACATGACCACGGTGAAGAATGAGCGTGATCCAAACCGGCCAGTTCTCGATTAGCGGATTTCAGGTGGAAAGAAAATTAATTTCGAGCCGCAAATTGTGTTCTGGGTAAGTTGGGCTCTCGTTTGTCACGTACAAATGAAAACCTTGGCGAACATAAATATTCTGTCAGTGTCCCTTTAAGGAAAGGACATTCCTCTACGAGAAGATTGCTTGAAAAAGCTACGTGGCTGACGTCATGCTCTCTCCTAGTATGTTTATCCCCCCTAGGTGCAACAAGCCAGTGCGATCGGTGCCGAATTCAGAAGTCTAAGGGACTTCTGAATTTGGTGCCATTCCTGAAGGTAACACTGACCACTTGACTTCTTTCAATATTCACTGCCACCCAATGCCAGTTATAAAATCACTGTAGTATATATAGGTGAATAAAAGGGCATCATAAAAGGTTGTCCTAAATAGTACATGTAGTTCACTCTAAAAGTACATTCTATTTATAGTACAGAACTACAGGGTGATTCAAGGAGATGTCAGGCTCTTTAAATCGACTGCAAAATTCGGTTTCTTAACCTATCGTGCTACGACTTTGTGCAGCGTTGCCCACGGATGGTGCGTTTTTGTTGTAAAATTTGCAAAGAGCAAACTTCCTGGGGAAGAAGTAAAGAGAGAAAAAGGCTTAGCTCCTATGGAAATGCAGCGACGCCACCGGTCTTCAAACAAGACGGCGCCGTTTCGCACGGGAGACAAGAGATGGCGCAACGAACGAGCATATGCCGCCGAGGGCTGGCGTTTTTAGCAGACAATCTTTTCGACTCAAAAGCGGCGCGCGTTCCGCAGGCGGCAATCGTCGCAGGAACAAAAACAGGCGCGGTAACAACATGGAAGTGCAGTTCCTTGTGTGCTAAAGACACCGGCTCTCAGCGTCGTTCGTTGGCGGCAGTTGGCGTCGCGACCGCTTGCGCCATCTCTTGTCTCCTGTGCGAAACGGCGCCGTGTTGTTTGAAGACCGGTGGCTTTGCTGCGTTTTCATAGGAGCTAAGCCTTTTTCTTTCTTTGCTTTTTCCTCAGGTTAGTTTGCTCTTCGCAAATTTTACAAAGAAAATGCACCATCTGTGGGCAATGCTGCACAAAGTCGTAGCGTGATAGGTTAAGAAACCGAATTTTGCGGTCGATTTGAAGAGCCTGGCGCCTCCTTGAGTCACCCTGTATATACTTCAAGAGTGTCATTCAACGTTCACCGTGTGACCCTCTTGATGGACACAGGCTGTGAAAACAGAATCTTCTTGAAATCTATCCTATTTTTATAATAGCCAAAGCAGAGTTGGAGCCAGCAGCACGGACTGTCTAGACATTGGAAATCTCATTCCATAGAATTTATGCTATTGTCCAGACCCATTTTCAATGTTGAATACTGATTGTTTCAGCTCTAACTGACCAAATACAAAGATCTATTGCTAGTTTCATTTGTTGCAAGTTTTAATTTGAAACAAAGGTATTGCTACATTGCAAGCAGGACCTTTACTATGTATTTTCAAGGGACACTTGTAGAAGCAGACGAAAAATGGGACTGATGGCATCGCCAGTTGCCACTTTATGGTGATCCAAGCAAGCCCTTGTAGATGATAAACTTCGTTGTTTATTGGAAATACTGCATGGCGTCGTTTTCCTTCATCGCAAAGCTGTAACTTCGTTTCGGGGAATGAAATCCTCTATGCAAACTTGTGTGAGAGTTGAAAATCTGTGGTCATTTGCTGCTGGTTAAGGTTCAGTAATACACTTGCATTTGCCTTTCGATATGGGTTGGGTTTTTAGAATACACCTTGTATATTTGTAGGGAGTTTTTGGTGGGAACGGTACTGCCACTGGTACAGCATCTTTATCCCTGGACAGCAATTACGAAGAACGATGTGAGGTTCTATGGTGAGAAGTGGGTTTTAAAGTGTCCTCTTATCCAAGGTGCCCCAGATCGCCGCTTTGTTCTTTACAGACAAGGGCTCGTGTATTTGTGGAGACGTCGTGCAACACTGTTTTAAATGCTGTTCTCAGGTTGGCATCAACTACCAGCCGCCGACTGTGGTTCCCGGGGGCGACCTGGCGAAGGTGCAGCGTGCGGTGTGCATGCTGTCCAATACGACGGCCATTGTGGAAGCCTGGGCACGTCTCAACCACAAGTTCGACCTGATGTATGCCAAGAGGGCCTTTGTGCACTGGTACGTGGGCGAAGGCATGGAAGAGGGCGAATTTTCGGAGGCCAGGGAGGACTTGGCTGCCCTGGAAAAGGACTACGAAGAAGTGGGACTCGACTATGCAGAAGGGACCGACGAAAACGGGGGAGACGAGTACTAGGATCCCACACCAACTTGTTGAACGGGGTTAACATTGTTGCATCCAAGTTGACCTCTTGGGACTTCTCTTAAACTGGCAGCTTCACAGACAATCTTTTTTTTTTTTTTTCTTCAGCTGCCTTGTCTAAGGGCAGGGTGGATGGAAGTGTGAAGGGAGACAGTGTTTTTTTTTTTTTTTCTTAGACCGTACAGCCCGCTTATAACTAACGCCGCGAGAATCTAAAATCAGTTCGCTATATCCATTTTTCGCCAAATGTAGATTTAAAAAAAAAAAAAAAAAGAAGAAATAGGAATTGGTTGTTTCAGCACGCGATTTTAATGCTTTCCAAAATAGCTGTCGATTCGCGACTGTACGTACCGCGTAAGGGACGTCTTCACGATCGCCTGCTCTATTTTGTCAAGTCCGGGAAAAGGTTTTGTCCAAGTCCGACCCGCTCGGCACCAGCGAAGTAGTCTCAGAGGGTCTCCGCCGCGGTGAGAGTTGTTCCGGCAGACACCGACTTCTTTGCAGAGTCGTCGCCACTCTTGTCACTTTCTCTGCCTACTTCCGCATTGACGGGATCAGAGTTCACGAGGGCTTCATCAGAGGAGACGCTCCACAACCCAGCGACTGTAATGGACCTTTAAGTTGGCAATAACGTCCTGGTCCATCGGCTGAAGCTTGGCAGTGGTGTTTGGCGGCAGGAAGAGGACTTCCACGACGTTAAGCAGTGGATTGATGTGATTCGCGCTACAGTTATCAAGCAGAAGCTGAACTTTCCGTTCCTTGCCCGCCATATCGTTGGTGAAGTCGGTCACGGTCGGCAGCGGTAGGCTCAGTCAGGTAGGGTTTAGTGAAATCCGTGTATTTCGCAACGAAGCATTGCTGACTTTCGTGTAGTTCCGTAGCCAGGTTGGCCAGATGTCAAAACGGAGGAGACAAAACGCGGAGCGGACGGGAACGGCCGAAAATCCGAAATTTCCCGCACGACATGTGCAACGATGCACGTCACACGTACTGCAGAGAAGACAACTTGCGGAACAGCGTGAAATCTTCCCTCGCTCGGACGAAAGGTGGCGGTCGCCTTAGTTGCTTTATCGGTACGGACTTGTTTCTTTTTGCGGTTATTTTCTAGAATTATACCGTGAATAGCTTTTTTTGCACATAATTTGAGTGTTTTTGCAGCTTTTTTTCGCTACATCTGTGGCAAGCCACCCGTGGTTTTTCGTTAAAAGCGGGCTTGTATCTCATTGCAGGTATACAAACGGTAACGGGAAATTTAAATTCATTTGCTATATCTATTATTTCGCTATTTCCGGGTTCGTTATAAGCGGGCTGTACTGTATCAACATGAGCTGTCATCCCGTTTAGAGGTTCAAAGTGTTCAGTGTTGGTCTCGTGAGAGACAAATGACTTCATTTATCTGCAAATAAAGAGTCTCTGTTAGCTGCTTTTACAAGTGGCCCTTTTGTTGAACTCTTCAAAAGCGATTAAGGACGCTGCAAGTCTGTGCTTTTTTCTTTTTTTTTTAGCATTGAATTATGTTTCTTTTTGTGCTTGGAAGGGGGTGCAAACTTGAGAGTTTGAATGTCACGAAAACCTGGTCACGGAAGTGACGTCGCACAGATAACACCGAAGCACTCTTCGACAGCGTGCCTGCTGCCGAGAATTGCACAGTGCGTGTGCGCGTCCTTTCTTATATGCTGACTTGCTCATTCGGTTGCTTCAACGCAATGCGCTCCTGTCTGATTGAAAAGACAATAGACGCTGCTCCGGCAGCTGTGATTCCACTATCTTTGCCCATTGCTCTGGATAAGTGGCCGAGCTTGCGTGCTCTGCGGCATGGGCAGTTCATGCGACTCTCTCCTGCCACTCGGAGAAGCCGAAAGGGGTATTCACTAGAGGGAGAAATCACGGAAATTTCTCCCCGGCGTGCGCATCCCGAGACGAAAACGCCAGGCTTTTGCTCATTGCAAAAGCCTGATGTTTTCGTCGCGGGGTGCGCGTGCCGAAATCCCCGGGATTTTTCCAATGTCGGAGTACACCTTTAAAGACAATCGCACAATGTTCCGCATATGCACCTCAAAGATGGTGGTGCGGGGCTACACATTTGCGTCTACCGGACTCGGGGCCACGGGCATTCACTTTCTGCGCACCCAACATCGCCGTGCGGCAAGAGGCCTTGGACGTTTTTTCAGCTGTGGCCGTAGTTTTATGGAAATTTATACAGCATGCTAAACCTGTGCACCGACCAATTTTTTTGCAGTGGGGTGCGGCCAATTGAGTCTCTTGCCAGCAGATTGATCTCTGGAGAACTTGAGTAATATGCCGTAGCATATTTTTAGTTTCTGAAAATGGGGGATCGCGTTTACCTTTTGCAAAAAACTGACATCCTTCACTGGCACCGAAAGGTACTAGAAAACCGGCTGTAGTGTTCAATAGAGTAGAATGGAATGCTTACTTTGGAACATACAACTTTCACAAAACACAAAAACGAGCCAGCTTAAAGGGACACCGACAGTAGTTATGCTCGCCGAGGTTTTAGAGCGCAGCTCTTAGGTGCCCGTTTCCGGCTTAAGCAGCAACAAAGTCGGTGTAACTGCACATTACTTTATGGGACGTTTCTAATAATGACGTCACGAGGGCTACGAGTGACGTCACGAGAAGAGGAGGAGGAGAGATGCCAGCTACCTGTTGTCCAGGCAAGTGATATCGCCATTCATAAATCGCAGGGAGGCACGTATGAAAACGTGGTGTACTCGTTATCGAAGTGGCCATCTACATGGGTACGAGGCTGTGTTGTACCCATCGATCTCTGTGACACGTCAGATGAAGTTGGTAAATAGTGTGCCGCCAAGGTCGACAACGGCTTGCTCGTTGTAGGTCTGTATCTCTCGCCTGCAGCACTCTCCAAATATTTCGTGCAAGACAAAAAGAACTACTTCATACCAGTCATGCTGGAAAACATCCTATTAGCCCCGAGAAGTTCGCGTGGCGCCCCCTTACGGCGAACCGGGGTGACGTCACGGCGAGGAGAGAATTTTTCCCCGACTCGGCCCGCTCGTCCTGTGGAGGCTGTGGTGACGTTATCTGTCAGCACGCTCGTTTCTATTTAATTTTTTTTTGCCGTGTTTTTCGTAGGAAGTGTAAATTTTTATATATGAGCCTTTATTGAGGTATGGCCTGTAGCTACAGGCGAAACTTCAACCAACATTTTAGACTTGGTTGACAGGGCAGGCAACGCATGAATCGCAGCTGGTATATGAAAATAAAGAAATATGGCCACAATTGCAGGAGCATCACTATAGATTTACATTTTGCACAATAAATGCTGCTGATGGTATGAATGAATTGGCAGGTTATGTATATTATTTTTTTTTTGTATCTGTTTTTAAACAATATCGCCGAAGCAGAAAAGCTGCATGCTGCTCGGGCAACATGCTAAATACAGTCTGGGCCATGGGGAGAGAATCACAAGTAAGACATCCCAAGTGCTGGGGCAAAGTAAAAAAACAAGGAACATTTATTATATACATTGCTTGCATGTGACCTTTGCTGGATTCGGATAGTATTTCAATGGACTACACGGGTGGTATCTGTGAACTTGTTTATAACAACCCTCAAGTAATGTATAACAAACGTAAGCGAAGGTGTCTAGCTCGTTATTAGCCCCTTAAGCCCTAAAATTGAAATTTTACTTAAATCGAATTGTCCTGAAGCTAAAATACCAGAAGCTTTTCTCACGCAGGCTGTCGCCCTTTACAGGTTCCACATTTTCTGCTGCTAGTGCTGCATCTACCACTGGACAGACGTTCGAAGGCTTGCTTTTACTCCTGTTTGCCTCTGATGTCAGAGTCCAGCTCTAGGGAGTTTGGATGCTGAGGAAGCTTTTGGGGACCTGCAGCAGTGTCCCTTTTAATTGGAAGTGACAATTCAGACTAAACGGTGTATTTTCGGAATATCCAAGTCTGGAATAAAGAATGTCAGGAGAAAGTGTAAACATTGCATATTACGGCACTATTGCGGTGCATAGTTTGGCAGTTCAATACATATCATACAGACAACTGGGGGCAATTCGGCCGTTTTTGCTGCTACCATACAAACTAATTTCCAGTAATTGTGCAGCTTCTAACAAATATGCCTGCATGCGTGTGTAAACTATATAATTAATTCACGAAGAAGCTACATTTATTGTAGCTTCTTCGCGAGCTAATTTGCCGACCACCCAAAGGCCCATGATATAAATGCCACTTCAAATGCCTTGAAAGCGGGATGTAATATCGTCTTAAATCATAAACGTGCAAGGAACAGAATTCCAGCGTCTGAAACACTTGCGCCACCGCTTCACCAACCCCTCGCAAGATTGCCTTGTGTCGTGTGGACGGACTGGGAAATAGCTTTCGGGATTTGTAACCCAATTTTAGAGGTAAAACGGACAAGCAGGCTTATAAGATGTACGAAAGCACGTCAATATCGGCCTAACTCAACGTCTTGTACACCGGGTAAACGAAGTCCAGCTCCTCGAATAGCTTGCGGCACACAACGCCAAACCAGGAAACCTGTGCTGGGAAGCGAGCCAATGCGAGATCGCGGAGCGGAGTACTCCCCCTGACGTCACGGTACACCTCACCCAATCCGGGCGCGGCGACCGCAGCGACGCTTGTGTTCGCTCTCGGGGCTAATTGGCCCCGAGGGATGTGCACTCGCTGTTCTGCTGTGCCATCTCTGGGGAGCACGCTCAAGACATACTGAGGAAATCAAAAACGCCGAGCAGTCTTCGACATAACCGAACTGAAATAACCAATCAGTGCTGCCCTTAATTCATCCCTTAGCCATCGCCATCCAATCCGAAGCCAACAGGCCAGCCAGTGGCGTATGCGCATAGCAGTCGAACCTGAGTCGAACCTTTGTCGAACTTTTCACAAGAAGTTCGAAAGGTCGAAACTGTTCGACCTCGAACTTCGACCGGTTCGCGACGCCCTTATGAGTAACTGTAATCTTTGATACTTTTTGAAGTACTTTTACAGCTCTGGTCGCGCCGACAAGGTTTGACTAGTTCGACCAGAGGAAAATTGGCGACTCCCTCGCCGGGGGGAGGAGGTGGACGGGGTTGTTTGCCAGATTCCCCAAGGGACCTCCCGGCGATAATCTTCATGCCCCGGTGAAAGAAAAACAATGATAAAGACAATGAGTGCGCAGGCGAGCTGATGGATGTTGATTATGATGTAGAAAACCCGAGACTTAACTTAAGAAACAAAAAAATCAGTTTTTTGTTAGTTATTTAGGTTAGGTGGCGCAAGCTACCGCCCGTTACAAAGGGTACAGCCGTTATCGTCTCTGGTTATCGTCCATACCGTCCATCCTTCGGCCATCTTTGGTTTGCGCCAGCGCGTTGTTCAAGCGTTTAGCTCGCTGGAGAAATGGCGCTACGATGGCATTTTCCGACGTCAGATCATAACATGTGGCGAAACAACTTAGAAGCTTTACCTGTGCTTTCTTATGACACGTTCGCAAACTTGTACGCGTCGACGGCGACATCGTCTCGCCAGCAGAGTAACGAAGTGCACACGCTGCCCTCATCGGTGTCGACGAACGTCTGCGACTCAAGGTACGTGAATACTGTACCACTTACTAAAAAGGTTATATTAGAAACAAAGCACGATGTAGAAACAGATCGCTTGTATGCGTGCTCCTTCGAACTCGGGAGCACTTTATTTCAGATTGAGTCGCCACATTTACTTTGTAGGCACGCCGCCATCTACGTACGAGTTGTGTTGGGGAGCGTGGCTCAGCAGAAAACTCTGTTTGCATGAGAACTCGCGTAGGAAAAACGCTGTCAAAAGAGCTTCGCGCTCGCAGCTGCGCCGGCACTGAAGACGCCTTTGCGGTTTATTTGCACTTCGAACATCATAGTGCGTAACCACCTCTATACTGACAACGTCTGCCAGATCGCGGTCGCTACGAGACGCGGCCGCCGAAAGTGAGAAGGTAGAGTGGCAGACAACGGATGAGAGGAGAGGCTAGGGTTCCTCCTAGGAGAGGCATGTAACGGTCGCCTCGCTGTGGCGAGACGCCGAAACACACTTCTCCCGACATGGCCCCCGAAGCGCGCGAACGCTTCTCCGGCCGTCCCATTCGTGCGGAGAGGGCGTAATTGAAAAAAAGAGAAGGAGGCGGCGTTTCTCCGCGGGGAGGCGCCCCCAACCCAGTCATCAACAGCATGGCGCGAGGCTGAAGAGTTCAAGAAAAAATCTTGTCACGTCGAGTTACTGCAACTTATACTTAAAAATGTTTGTGTATTGTGGTAGAACGATGAACAGCTGCTCCGGGGACGTAGATAGAAAATTTGTGATGCTTATTTAATTATTTAATTTGAGATATTCATCTGGAAATGTTACGACTAGCGCTACAAGCGCGCCTTTTGATATATTTGATTGCAATCTGTGGCACGTATAAACCTAGAAAAAGAAAAGCTTCGTATATAAAAAAAAATTAGTACTTCCCTAAATAAAAATATTCATGCTGCAATATATATATATATATATATATGTTTTACCTTCCCACGTTGTTTGGCGTAGCTTTTTGAGCCTCACGAGGTTTGATACTGTATAGCTAAGTCTGCGTTGCCCTTCCTTTAATATATTTAATATTTATTCCACAATTTTTGCGGGTCGTATTGCGGTGTTTGCTTCTACTAGAAGTACCTTTAAGCCAAGGTCACACTGCTTATACGTTATACAAAAGACAGTCTGCAGATATCAGTCGCCACAATATCCGTGGTTCAAATGCTGCGTGCTAACTGTCTAATTGAACTTGTTGCCTTGCGGCATTCGAAGCTCAGATCTCGTGGTGACTCGCGTTTGAATCTGTTCGCAGACTGTCTTTTGTATGATGTACAAGCAGCGTGACCCCAGGTTTGGGAAAAACCTTTGGCGGTGAGGTACAACCACCTCGCAGTGATTTGGCCATTTTTTTATGAACTTCGTGATAATTGTAGGTACTCATTGAAAAGGTGGAGCGTTATCTTGTAAACATCTAGTTTTTGGCACATGTAGCACAGACCACCGTATCCCGTAATGCACTTTTGATATAACTTAATAGATATGCAAACAAACAATGGGATCTCAAGAAAAAGAACTCTGGTTTATCCGCTATCCATTTCCGACAGCCGGCGCAGCCCGACCCGAAGCTAACTTTCAACAGCACGCTGCGCTTTATTTTAGCCCAGTATGAATAGTTCACAAATTGTGCGGCATGGCAGCTCGCTTACAACTGCAACACAAGGTTGATTACAATACCCAATAGTAAATACTGTAAGCATATTATTTTTGCTGATATTATTATTCGACCAATCTGCAGGCGTGGGCAGCTTGTTAAGAAAAATCGCCCGATCTTCCTGTTCTGCGACCAAACACGCGCGGAAAGAACGGAAAAACAAAAATGACAAGTAGAAGTAAACAAAACCACGTGTCACAGTTGGAAAGGAAGGGACACATTGCGACTGGTTTGGACAAAAGACGGGCAAAGTTCTAAATTAGCCACTTTCGCTGCGCACAAACGTAAAAAGAAAAGAAAACAGCAATGTCGTCGTCGCTTGCGGTTGTCTGCGAGAATTCGTTAAGGAAAAGTACCCCTCCGGGGAACCTCTTTACCCCTATTGGGGATGCAAGCACTCGTGCGTACAGATGGTTTACGCCGGCGAAGGTGCACACGTTGTTTAGGCGTGTGTATGTGCGTGTTTGTGGTGAGAAGCGATTGTATGATGGCGGCGGCGCCGCCGGGGACAAAAAGACACGCCGTGCCGCTAGTCCTCTGGAAGAGCATTCGCTGCACACACCGAACCATACAAAAACATATACCCACACACACATGCTTCAGCATCTGTTTATCCACCATTGTGGTTCCTCTCCCAACCCCCAAAAATAATTCCAAAAAACAAGCCGTTAAAAAAAAAAAAAAAAAAAAAAGTAATGGTCGGTTTGGCTTGCTTTTGCCCCCCCTGTAGATGTGAATACAAGGCCCGTACCCGGCCCAGTTCCTACAGATTGCAATCAAATATACCAAAAGGCGCGTTTGTAGCGCTAGCCGCAACATGTCCAGATGAATATCTCAAATTAAATAATTAAATAAGCATGACAAATTTTTTATCTGCGTCCCCAGAGCAGTTGTTCACCGTTCTACCACAATACACAAAAAATGTGTAAGTATAAGTTGCAGTAACTCGACGTAACAAGACTTTTTCTTGAACTCTTCAGCCTCGCGCCATGCTGTCCATGACTGGGTTGGGAGCGCCGCCTCGCGGCGAGTGACGGAGTTAACGCAATTACACTCTTCTGCTGGGGAGCGAGACGAATGAGACGGCCGGAGAAGCCTTCGCGCGCGCGCTTCGGGATCTCGGAGGCCATGCTCCCGAGCGATGGAATGTACGCTCGTGCTCCTCGCGTTACTCGCGCTACCGCTTCTTTTCTCGTCGGGTTTGAAAACCATGTTTTTGGCAGGGTGTAAGATAGACAGCTGGGGAAACGAGAGCCAAATGAGCGACCGGATTGTGTCCCCCTCGGGTTTCTCTTTTTCTGTGGCGCCACCTATGTGGAGCACCGCGAACTCTCACTCCGGGTGGGCGACTGGTGGCGACCGGCTAAACTGACGGACACGGTTTTTCGTGGATTTTCAATGGAGGACTGTCGTGCTCTCGGTTTATTTTCTGCACTCTCCTATACACTCCGTGCGACGCAACTGGCGCGCCGCCGCGCGGCCGGTACTGAAGGTAGGCAGTGAGAACCCCAGAGAAACCGAAACCACGCCGCGTATGTTGGTACGCATTGAAGTCGGAGTGGTGCTGTTGTGCTGGGTTCACAGCATGAAGTGCTGCCTGTGCTGCGTCATGAAGTGCTTCAATAGTTATGCGTCGTACCTCGTGGAGACAAAATGTAGGCGTTACTGGTATGAAAACAAACGCAGAGCGCAAAGCGGCAGTGTAGAATATGTCAGCCGTGCCGACACAGTGGCAGACATGATCGGGACACCAAATTTCTCGCGTCGTACGGTACGGCTCCATCGTTGTCGCTGTCCCACAAAAAACTGTGAAACTTTAAAGTTTCACAGAGCCGTACCGTACGACGCGAGAAATTTGGTGTCCCGATCATGTCTGCCACTGTGTCGGCACGGCTGACATATTCTACACTGCCGCTTTGCGCTCTGCGTTTGTTTTCGTACCAGTAACGCCTACATGTGTCAGCGCCGATGGGACGAACTGAAATGCCATCCCACACTCGCGGGTATGCAGCGCCAATTTCGTTAAAGGAATGCCCTCCAAACAAGTTTCGCCCCCATCGTACATGTCGATGATATTTCCGGACAAATATGGCACGCAATCTGTTCTTCATGAAGAAAGATTCGAACGGTAAAAAAAAGTGACAAATATAAATCTAAAAAAAACAACCATGAAACTCGGAATCACTGGAGAATCGGCGTTTGAGTATGGAAGTTTATGTGGTGTGCTTTCTTTCTTGATCAGCCTCCTTTTGGATGTGGAAACACTGACACCCCGAGTTCTGTAGACAACAATTTTTTTTCTCGGCTTTAGAGCCACCTATCGCAAAGTGGTTCGAACTGGAAGTACCGACAACTGGTCCCTTCCTGCCTGTAAAGTGTGCACCTCCCACGATGAGTGGTATTTTCTGACAGCCTTTGACGGTCAAAGCCAGTTCCCATTTAGTTACGCCGCCCAAACTAAATTTCCACCTGGTTTCGCTATGCCAACTATTTTTGTTATAATAAGTGTTGTGCCAAGTGACGGTCATGTCAAAGTACCTGTGGGCCGAAAATCAGCACCTCGCACAACAGGTTATTACACAACGGCTGACCGCAAAAGCACTTGGCGGCTAAACCGTGTGTGGGCCGACAACTTTGTTTTCTCGGCTTTGGAACCACCTTTCGTAAAGTTGTTTCAATTGGAAGTACAGTCCACTAGTTCCTTCCTACCTCTAAAGTCTTCACCTCCCCCGACCAGTGGTATTCTCTTGACAGCCTTTTCATGGTCAAAACCGGTTGCCATCGAGTTACGCCGCCCAAACCAAATTTTCACCTGGTTTCCCTATGCCACCTTTTTTTGTATAATAAGTGCTGTGTCATGTTACTGTCAAGTCCCCTGTCAAGTCACCTGTGTGCCCAAACCTGCACTTTGCACAGCCCGCTATAACACAACATTTTGGGTCCAATATTGGATATACCGTACAGCTTTATTTCTTTATTCGTTAGAAACAACTTTCACACCTGTAATGAAACTTGGCACACTTCGTGCAGAAACTTAGTGAACATCTCACTCGCCTCCAATATCATCGTTCCAGCAGTCCTACGTTTACAGCGACGAGCGAAATAAATTTCCCACTCAAAGCAATTATGGTGGCGGCCGTCTTGCTTTTCGGAAAATTGCTCCAACTCCTTTTTTGGCTGCAACTAGAGAAATTTCCCCTAATAACGACTAAAACTCGGTATATAAGAAGTGGAGAACAGCTAAATGTTTTTCTTAGGTGCGCCCCAGCACTCATGCAATGTCACCCTCAACGTACCGGCTCAAAAAGCAAAAGTTTCGTCCGTGCGCACTTCCGCCGCCACAGCTTGGCATGCGAAAAGGCGCCACAGGCTGCTGAACGCGCCTCACGGTCGAACGCCAGCTCCTCCGCTAGCAACGCTGCGCGCGTTTTTGAAAGCGCCCCCTATAGTTCCCGCACGGAGTGTATAGAGTTCTACGCAAATCGGATTCCAACTTTTTTTCCTCTCGCCGCAGCGCCATCTGTCGCAAATTGGGGGTACCCGCAAGCAGACGAGTACACAATCCGGTCACGGCGCTGCGGTAGGCTTCTATGGGCTGTTTCCCCACCTGTCTATCTTACACCCTGGTTTCGGGTCCTCGCTGCTGCAAAAGCTGTGCGCTGAATTCTGGAAATCCTCTCTGCTCCCAGGTCCTCGCGCTCCAAATCTGCGAACGGGCGCTCTATGGCTCCGTCGTTGAACTGCCAAGCTTTTTGAATATGGAGGAGGCTATGCATAGTGGCATGTCAGTGCACTGACATGTTGCAAAGACACAAAGTGGTAAAATCTTTAGGACGCATCAACGGGCTCCCACTTTCCTGTGAGTGAGGCAGGCACGTAGCCAGGATTTTGCTTTGGGGGGGGGGGGGGGGCTTGCCCATGACAAAATGCTGTATGAGGGGGAGGGGGGAGAGGAGGTCCCAGCAAAATGGACGATTTCGGGAGGGGCCCGGGCACCATGGGCCCCCCCTCTGGCTACGTGCCTGGAGTGAGGCTTGCTGTAGGTTGGAGCTATACCTTGGCGGCGTGAATTACCAGCGCTTAATGCCACCGAAGGCCAGCGAAGAAGCTTACAAGCAACAAAGCACTTCACCTTAACTCACTTTGCCTGTTTTCTCTAATTTAGAAGCACAATATAGCAAAAGGAGACATTATCATGCTGATTTCAGTTTAATGCTTCTTTTTGAAAGCAAAGCGTGTACTTCAAATAAATTATCCCAAAAAAAAAAATCTCTTCTTAGCATGCATTGGTGGCATGGTTTCCACCATGCCCATTTTTTCACTATTTTAACATGTGCCTGTGTATGTAGTGCATACGTTCAAAGGGATGTTGAACCAAAATTTGGAGCTCACTAAACAAGGCTGGAGCAATAGGTGGGACACCGCAAAGCCCAAGAGCATCACTTGTACAGCGATATCTCTTATGGATTGCCATATTTTTGATAAAGAAATGCGTGCCTGAACACTGCCAAGGAGGCCGGCGAGACGTGTGACGTCTCAATTCTCATTCCCTCTCCTCGTGGTTTCGTCCCTTGGAGCAGGGGAGCTGAAGCGAGGTGGGGAGTAGAGGCCCCACTTCCCCTCATTCTCAATTTTTAGAAGAGAATCGGGATGTCAGATTGCTTGCTTGATCGCGCCCTTCTTTCCCAAAAATACGGCCATTCGTTGGAAATATTGATGTACGAGTCGGTCCCTTCGCCGCTGAGTATCACGCCTTTCTCTCCTCCATTGAATTTGTTATCACAGTAGCCACCTCAAAGAATCACTGCTCTCACCTCCCCATTGTATTTTTGTACGTCTAGATTACCTATGTAAATTACGCCCAATTCGATCATCAACTGTATCTCACCAGACTTCCACACTACCATTGGCCATCGAGGATTGGAATTCACTACCTTATAAGTTGTTTCTATTAATGATGCTACTAAATTTGTTGAAGCCATTACCCTTTCTTTACCTAACCCACCTAGGTAGTGTTATAATTGTGTTTACACAGTGGTTATAATTGTGTTTACTGTTCTGTTTTTGTTCTATTGCCACCCTTTGTATAATGCCCCACAGGCCCTCAAGGAAAATAAATGATGATGTTTTGGAGTTCGTAGAGTCCTGTTCAACGCTTCCGTGGCCTCATTTTGCGAAATTCAAATTTCGGTTCACATCCCTTTAAGGGGTTCGTTGATGATTGTACCGAATTTGTTCTGTGCAGTTTGCAAATTCTGTTCTCTTTTCTTTTTATTTCCACAGCCTCGGCATCGTGTATGCACGAGCCACTTGCTACGGGAACCAAAAGAAGACTGGCCCCCCCCACAAGGTCCTCATGGCATTTGAGCTGGACAGTGGCGCAGTTGCCGGTGCAGCCTGTGCCTGCCCCACTGGGACAAGTGGCACATGCAACCATATTCTGGCTACGCTACGCCTGTTGGTCCTTTTGAAACGGAAGGGCTTCGAGGAGGCACCACCGGAGCTCTCCCGCACGGAGCTCCCTCGGCAGGGGAAGCGCCCCCGAGGTGAAGGCGCTCGGCCGAGTGTCCAAGATACAGAGTGGGGAAGCCCTTGTGAAAGCGGCGTGCCTGTTCCCGTACCAGTTCGGTTTCTTGATGCTCGTGCCAGGAGAGAGGAAGAGCAGCGGCAACTCGACTCCTTTCACAAGCTTGGAGAAAGTCTCAAGAGGCTGGGGAATCACACCTTCGCCGCTGTCCTGCTAGCTGCCAAGGGGCCCTTTGTTGAAACAAAACTCGGCCTCGCTCATGTTGGTTCGCCACTGTCGTACCAGCAGGCAAAACTGCCGTCGAGTTTCCAGAGACAAGTCTCGCCCAACATTTCTATGGGAAGCAGCACCCTCAGCCCAGTCCCAGAGGCGCTCCTTTCTGATGCAGCTTCGCCACATGCTTTTGCAGACACTTCCAACGTCGGTGAATGAAGTGGGTTGAAGGTAAGTGTTGACTTAAGCATAACATTTCAACATTCTTTCCTTTAATTTTTGGCCACACTAACAGGCATTCATTTTAACACTGTTTGTTGATCGTAGCTTCGTGACATTGCAGCCTTAAATAAGTGTGCAACTCTTAGAGTAGCTATAATATGTATTGTAACGTGCAACGTTGAGTCAATAAAAGACAGCTGCTGGAAGGGCACGCAATGACCGGTCCCCGTGGGAAGAAGAGGCAGAGTTAGTTAGAGTGGCTGGTTAAGAGCTAAGCGTCCTGCCAGCATGGAGTGTTTTCCTTTATTGTGGTTTTTTGCGTGCAGTCGTGAACTCACTTTGATTCGTTACAAGTTGTGGAGGTGCTGGGTAGCAACCCAACCCGTAAGGACACCCCAATCACAAAGCGACAACGAAAATGCCATCGCGAGAGGCGAACAGCGGTTTGCTGCTGGGGCGGAGACAACAACGATGCGGCGTCGATGGCAGCATCGTCGAGTGACGCTCTTAATCAACAGCTGCGTCTGACATAAGACAGTGCTGGCCATGGGCACCACGGCTTTGTGATGGGTGAGCGATGTCTCCTTGTCATCATGTGGCGGGCGGCCATCATCGGCACGGTGCTTGACGGTGACGTCTGGACGTAGCAAGAGCGGTCGCTGACTGCACAAGCAACGCAACGTCGTTCCGCAACAGCGCTGCGTGCGGTATGCCGTCAAACCCCAGGCCTGTTTCAAAGGTGGCGGCAAGCCCTATTGCCCTCTGTTCTGACCCATGCCAGTAAAAAAGGACCTTGGCTACGGACATGACGAAACAATCTCAGAAGTTCTGGGCGAATGGATATAGGCATGCTGCTCGGGAGTCCGATGATCAAAGTCATGGTGGAAATTTACGGCCCGAATCTTCAGTATAACCCGCGATGGGCACTGCCTATAAATCTCACCCTCTCAAATTACTTTTGTAGAGAAATGGTTCAGCCATGAATTTAAGGTGAAAAACATCTTACCATGAACTCCAGGAGCGCATGCGAGGAATTAACGGAGAACCGAGTGCAGATTGGACCATTGACAGTTGGGGTGGCATGTCTGTGGGAAACGAGTGCCTGCAGAATCTGCCACCACTGTGTGTTCATTGAATAAAGCCAACTGGCACGGTTCATTGAATAAAGCCAACTGGCACGAGCAATCCTTGGTGAGGTGGGTTGTAGTGGCAGAGAAGTGTCGTGTGAATCAACGAGAGCCGTCTGAAAGGCTCAGACATTTTGTTTTTAGGTTTATTGTGTTGTAGATTGCGTTAATTATTTGGTTCCCTGTATTCGTACAGGCAGCGTCGGTGTGCTCAAACTAAGGTGTTAATAGTTGTAACTGGACAATGTTCATCCCCCCTGAGTTAATTGTTACGACATGTCTTGTGTAGAGGTTTTCAGTGCAGACATTGCAAGTTTTGAGTATACATTGATATTGCAAATTTTGACTGTAAATATCCTAATGATTGTGGTTGTAAATTCTTGCTTGTATGTGCAAATTGTAAGTGTGGAATTAGTTGAGATGATGCATTTTGAACTGTGTGTGGGTTACGACTGAGTGTTTCCAAGTCTTCGTATTTTGATATAAAAGTTTAATCCATTGAATATTGTGCATGTGTAAAACTTTTGGTACAAGTCAGAGAGTTTATACTGAGAATGGGACCTCTTAGCTAAAAGGGGAGGAATATGTAACGTGCAACGTTGCCCCAATAAAAGACAGCTGCTGGCAGGGCGTGTGACGACCGGCCCCCGGGTGAAGATGAGACAGAAGTGGTTAGAGCGAAAACAGTGCTGGTTGAGAGCTGCGTGTCCCACCAGCGTGATGTGTTTTCCTTTGTTGTGGCCTTTTGCGTGCTGTTGTGAACTCGCATTGATTCAGTATACAGCTGTTGAGCCTTCTTTTGCAATGAAAAAAAACTGACATAAAGCTCAAATGTAAAAGCAGCTGCGATGCATGCAAAAGGTAGATGGACAAGGAATGCACAAGTGCAGAATACTTATTAAACTGTTTCACGGCAAGATGGGGAAAAGATTTGCAACTGTATTTTATGAGAAACAGTGGGTTTTTAGAATGTTTCAGTGCGAAGGTGGCATCTGCTTTCCTGGCATGCTTCATTCCATGCCGAACGCCGAATGTTCACATTCAGATTTCTTTAGTTGGCAATGCCCCTGCTCAGCTTTGGATGTATAGACTGAGGCAATTTTGTCATTTGTTAACATGTGCATCGCATGACTGTAACATAGGCAGTACAAGTGGGCAATGGAAAGCGTGTAGGGAGCAACTCCAGCCCTCAGACAAATTCTCCATTAAACTAACAATCAAAGAACAAACTGTTCAAGTTTTGTGTTGTTTGCTTTTATCTCTTGCGGGAAATCCAGGAGTCCCGAGAAGCCCGAGAGCTGGAAGTGAACTCCAGGCACAGAGCACACGCTGGCAAGAAGTTCGGCTGAACCGGTTGACTGTGTCGTGCTTCGACGAGGTGGTCAGGAGACAAGTGCATTGAGAGAGGCTTGTGCTACTTGTTTGATCCAAAAATTTTCTCACATTCGAGCAGTACAGTCCAAACTAAAACATTTAAGTGCGGCATGCGAGCGCTGCAGTATCTACACAAGAAGTTGCAGCCAACACAGTATTTTGCTTTAGCACCTTGGGCCGACGGCGCATCCCAGTTGCTCATGGCTAGGTGCCAGGCCCCACAGGCTGGTATATGACCTTGAGGAGTTAAGATATGGGGGCCTTGAAGTTAAATGCCACTGCATATGGGGCCCTTGAAGTTAAGTGTCCCTACTCCTTAAAAAAGCACTAAAAAGAAATTTTTTTAAAACAGTTGAGACACGTATGTCAAAAAATGAACTTTATGCAAACATAAATTTTCTTTTGAAGCAATACTGACGGCGTAAGATGTAGTTTAAGTTCTGCGCGCAAAAATCATGACATCACAGAATGGTCATACTCTTTCCACCTCGATGAGATGGCCAAGTCGATCTACCTCCTCCACGAGTTTGTGTAAAGTCAAAGCTGGACATAATTTTTTTTTTTTTTTTTAAGCATATGTTGCCTTACGATTTTAAGAAGATCACTGCTTAGTCCTGCGTGCAAAAGCAAAGGTTATACACTCCGTGCAACGCGACTGGCGCGCCGCCGCGCGGACGGTACCGAAGGTAGGCAGTGAGAACCCCAGAGAAAACGAAACCGAAATCACGCCGCGTACGTTGGTACGCATTGAAGTCTGAGCAGCATGTATCTGTATCCGAACTGCTGCAAAGATGTTTTAACCCCTTAATCATTTTTTTTTGCAGTTTTTTTCATTTGGTTGACTTTTAAGTAGGGATGCCGCGAACTTTTTTCGAATCGAAGTTTCGATGATCGAATCAAGCGGTTCAAAAGATTTCGATTTTTCGAATTGTCTACACTTGTTAAGCTAAGAAGTTCGACGCTTTTCGAACCGTCGAACTTATTACGCTAATAAAATCGATCTTTTTTCGAACTTTCGAACTTATTGCGCTGCAAAGTTCGATGCTTGTCGAACTTCCGAACTTGACTGACCAAACAATTCGATGAATTTCGAACTTATTTATCAAGATAATTCTAAAAGTTTCGAACTTTCGAATCTTGAAAAGTCAGAAGTTCGACGAAATTCGAACTTTTAGGGTAAAAGTTCGACGTTCGTCAAACTTCGAAAGTCCGGCGGACGGTTTCATTTGAATTCAAGTAGTGAGGTACATTCGTAATTTCTTTTCTCGAACTTTTACATGCGGTGCTGCGTTCCTTACGAAAGACAATGCCGTTTGCTTCAATGTTCTGACATGCTTAGTTTTAAAGAAATAAATTCCCGAAGGGGCGAGGAAGGACGACGGGTTTTTGACGATTATCGTTTGTGCCAGATTTGAAGCGCGCTGTAGCCGAAGCTATTTATGGTAGAGATGTTATACTTTTTTAAGAAGTATAACATCCCCGTCTCTCCCCGTATTGTTTTCTTTAACAGTCTGAAACATCTGGAAGGGAACTGAAGCCCTCCCCCTCCCCCCCCCCCCTGCTACCCTCTTTCCACCCGTTTTTTCTCTTCTGACGCCACATGTATGGTAGAACGCTCCTCGACCTCGAGTTGTGTCGGCTTTTTGCGAGGCGATTCCCCCGTCCCAGAAAATAAATAAACCCCCAGGACAATTACAAACTTAACTTGCTATATGCCAGCGTCACTCGGGCGGCGTTCGATCGGATTACTACCAGCGTGCAAGGGGTGGCGAGGTAGTTTGCCAGGTCGTTTCGAGGTTTTTCTGAGCCTCAACCTACTGCTCGCCCTTGGCCGTTTCGAACTGGATGAGTCTCGTAAAACAGTGTGTTTTCGTGTGATCACTACTGCGTGATGCAGGTTAAAGACCCCCCCCCCCTTCCCCCCCCGGGCTGGCGGTCACAATTACTGATCTATGGTCACACGTCACTCTGCACTGGCAAATATTCCAGCACATCCGGGACACTCGTCGTCTCATTTAATTGCCTGACCAACTTCGCAGAATCTAAATATCACCACCCTAACTTTTCTAAACTTGATTTTGTGAAAACTAGTGAGTCGTGAAAACGTTATTTGAAACAAACTGTGGAGGAACTTGAAAACCGGACTTCGAACTTTGAAAACTTGGACTAAAAAGAAATTCAAAATCTTCTAAGATTTTTTTTTTTTTTTTTTTGAATTTAGCGTTAAAAGAGAATCGAAACCTTCGAACTTTTCTAACTTTATGCAGAAAGAAATTCAAAATCTTCGAATTGTTCGAACTTCATGTCTATAAAAATTTGAAGCGTTCGAAGTTTTCGAATTTTATTTCCAAAGAATTTCGAAGTCTTCGAATTGATCGAACCTGAAGTAAAAAAATATTCGAAATATTCGAATCCGAAATTTTAGAAACCGTGAAAGCTTCGAACTTTTCGAATTCGAAACTCCACTGTGATTGAAAGTTGCGAATTTTTCGAATTCGAACCTCGGTCGGTACGAAAATATCGAAATTTTTCGAAATCGAACCTCGGTTCGCTTTGCAAATATCGAAACTTTTCGAAATCGAACCTGGGGTGGTTTGCGACATCCCTACTTTTAAGAACTATTATTGCACATCTCCACCACTGGTCGCTATATTTAAATTTACAATAAAAAGAAGAAAGCACGTGCTGCCATCTCTCGCCAGCTTTGCAAACTAAGCTCTGAACAAGCCTGGGTCGTCCAAAACAGTCAAGGGGTGAGCGAAGCGGCACAGACAAGCTACACTCGTCCAAAATGGTCTCCACCTGTTTTTTTGTTGCAACTTTTTTTCTCCCATTGAGATTACCGTTTTTTTTTGGCACAAAAAATTACTACCGCATAATATTGAGCATCCATCCATTTCATAGTAAGCGCCCTGATCAATTTAGCAACATTTAGGAAGTCTGCTAAAGGCATATGATGGCCTAGCAAGTGCCCATCTGGCAGTTTTTTGTGATCTAAATTTTGAGTGGGCGCTTGCTCGAGAATTTATGGTAGGGTGGAAAACGTCGGAAGTTTCAAGCCTGATGTCTTGAGAGTCTGCTGGGTTGCTCTTGCATTTTGATTCTCTCTACTGTTTAAAACCTTTCAGCAAATTTTTTTTTATTTTTTTTTTTATTGGTAGTGCCTGAATACAGTCTTTTGTGCAGCATTCAGTCATTTTTTTTTAATGTGAAAAGGTAATTCCAGGAGGAAGGTGGATGTGTTTGATTGTAATTAGTCTTGTATGTGACTGTTTCAAGAGTAAAAAATGCAGACTACAGCAACACTTGTCTCTTTATTACAAGCTTTTTTGATACTTTTAGGCTGCAAAGGGCATTACATATGGGTGGTGCAAAGCAATGTGAAACGAGCAGAGGACGACATAAAATATATTGCAGAACGAAGAAAAAAAATGCATGCAACAACCAAACTGTGGACTATACTTGGGGTAATGTTTTTCTTTTCAAAATGAGCTAAATTCAAAAAATGTAAACTAAGCCAATTTTGTGCCAATTCCAGGCGCACGCTCGAAAAAAAGTAAAAACCGGCATCGTTGGGTGCCTGCTCCCCTCTGCAGGCACCAAATCTTGCGCTCGCCAACGTGAGGCCAGCATAAACCGATGGTGCGCACAGCTTCATAGGGCGGGCTATTCTAACAATCCAATCCTTGCCACCTTAAGAAAATTGGCAAGACAACCCTGGCATAAGCCGGCCACCGAGACGTTGCCCACCACAAGAAGACCGGCTCGCATTTCGTACATTCATGTGACATACCGCCACTGAAAGCGCTTGCCTTCAAATTCGACACAAAAAGTCGTTTTTACGTGCAAATCTAGGCTCGGCGACATATGCAAGACCGTGATCAGAGGGACACCCCTCCTCCCCTTCACCTAGCTGCACCAAAAAACATGCAAGTTCACCATCTGCAAGGCACAAACTGTGTATGCGATCTCCCAATGCTGTGGGGCGAAGATTCCAACCACCCGATTGCCATTCATGGGAGAAAATGCCCTGGCAGCGCACCTAATTTCGCCGCCGCAACCCTGGCTGACCACCACGAGCACGTCGGGCGAGAAATACTTGAGACCTTTTGGATGGCGACAAGCCCGCAGAAGAGATACATTCCGTCAATCTCTCCATCACAAAAAAAGTTGGCTTTTCCGAGGCCGACGATGGATACTGTGCTCCGACGAACACGTCGATATGACGAAGTCACCAGCAAAGGCGGCTACAGAGACCCCCTTCATCCCGTCCACACCGCCTTCCTCTTGGAAGTTTCCTCGCAATCCTCTTGCCTTCCCCCCTTTTCCCCCAAGCGTTTCCCCTTCCCACAAAGCGGTTGGGTACCGTGCTTGAAGTCGAAATTAAGTGTAGTTGAAGTTGAAAGATTGTCCCGTCTGTGTCATCCCCTGTGTCTCTTCTTTCTATCCATGACATGCACATTCTTGAGACCGTCGACTGTGCAATGCAGACTGTGATCTAGGTCAACCTCAAACAAGCCAAGGCACAACCTCACCACCACAACCAAGAACAGCCCATTCTTGCAGATTAGTTCTCTCTTGCGGCCCTTATCAGATCCGGCTGCACTACCACCTCCAGTGTGCAAAACGTTGCATCCATTGTCTCCTGGGTTTAAAAAGAAAAGCAAGGTCACTGAGCCTTCATATTTTGGCAACCCAGTGTGGAGCATGATGTCTTTGTTGATGAAAAAACTACATGTCCTTTCTTTTTCTTCGGCAACTTGAAACGCCAGACTCACTTGCTGCTTGAAGCTCACGCACTGTAGCCATCGCTGATCCCAGCTGTTCTCTGAGACTACTGCAGTCGTCGCAAAGTTTAGTGATTTCTTTCTCTTGATCTTTGAAAGTGGTCACAAGACGTCCCAAAGCTGCACCTGAGAAGTCCAGTCCAGCAGGTTCCAATGAGCTTTCCCTTGGAGCTTCCATGTCAGTGGTAATAAAGGAAACTGCATCCTCCTCTACAGTGTCGTTGCAACTGTCAGCTGGTTCTGGCGTTTGTAGTTCCTGATCCGGTGGTTCGACAGCTTTTCTGAGTGGTGGTTGTGTGTGCTACTTCGGCAGCTTACGAACATTGTGCTGCTTGCTGAAGCTAGATACTGACGGCTCTGCTGAGTCTCGGAGGAGATTATGGCCGCTCGCTACACCAGGTACAAAGTCACACTCTCAAAAATGTTTGGAGCATACCTTGGTGTACTTCGTCACTCGGAAATGAGCATCTTCACCTCTCTTAACGGAAATACCCCAGTTCTTGCGGAGCTTTTCATTCTTGGGGAAACCATGAAAGGATACCTAAAGGAGATGCAACAGAAAAAGTTAAGAGATGATCTCAACACTTTTATGTGCAAAAGGACATGCTGCTACACGTTCACTAACATGGGAAGGGGAGCAGATCCAACGCTATGCTACAGGTGACTATAAACTGACTTCTTCACAGCTACTCTGTGCTGGGAATAACTAAGATATGGGAGCTTTGAACACTGACTCCCGTTTCATCAGGAAGCAAAAACAGGAGTGTGGCTTGGAGTACTCGAAATGTACACTGGGAATGTGCTCCTGGCTCGAGTATCTAGCACGATTCGAGATTTTCAGAGTACAAGACAAATAACCATGTCAATAGTGCAGAAGGTATCAATCCTCCGCTACTCAACTTTATCAGAAAGGCGCTCATCGCGGCACCCATCGCGAATGCGTCGCGAGGTAGAGAAGAAGGTCAACAGATTGGCAGCATCACAGTCACATCCTGCAAGGTTGCAGCTCCCGAGGCACATAACACCTGCACGCTTGCACGTTGAAAGCAGCTGTGCTCTCCTGCAGTATGTATGTACACTGCCAACCGGCAACGGCCAGGCGGCGCCAGCAGGGTGAGAGCGCACGGTTATGCCCTGTCTCGTTGTAACTTGGCAAAGGGTAAACGATAAGCCCCACATTGCGTGCCGGCGGCTTCGAAATGCGCGACGTATACGAGCGCAACGCACGGATATTGGAGCATGACGCAGCGAAAAGCCTGATACTTCTTCGGAGTTGAGGCGCGCTCCGCTGATACGCAGTCACGTTCCGATTGGCCCGCCAGGGCCGTAGCTTCCGCTCTACTGGCACGTTACGCGATCACGGCTTCCTGGGATACCCAGCATTTCTTGCTTCAGACACTAGGCCACGTGCACTAGGCTAAGCGGCGCCACCAGAGTAAAAGCTCACGTTTGAACAATGCAGCCGCCACTCCCAGGGTACCCAATAGTTCTCGTTTCAGTGGCTAGATGGCGTAGGGAGGCTCAAGTGAGGGTGGGTGCACCTGCTAGATCGGCGATCACGGGACATGGACGCCATTTAATTGCTAAATTTTGCTGGGAGTCTATGGGGCAAAGGGTCGTTTTCTTTCCTAACTCGGTTCATAAAAGCCCATTAAGGTGCGTGAATAATTTACGCAAGGTATAAATGATTACTTTTCCATAGCCACCAGTTTTGTTGCGATAGGTTAAGTATTTTTTTAACGCGAAAAATGGTAAATTTCGCCATCTTGGACGTTGCTGCTTGTGTGGCAACTTTGCTTTCTCCGCTCGACGTTTGCAATTCTCGGAGCGAGAAGGAAGCGAGAGAGGCTGCGCCAAGGCGCTCGTTGCTTGCAATGGGAGGCGAGAGGAGGAAAGGCGCATGGAGCAACAGAGTTGCAACAGAGCGGGCGCCTGCTCTCGTGCAGGTAACACTGGGGCATATCCTTTCCTGAATCCTCTCCCTCAGGCGCCGCCATTAAATTGCAAACGCTCTCCAGGTTTTGAGTTGCGCCCACCCTCACTACAGCCTCCCTATCCGTGCGACGCGACTGGCGCGCCGCCGCGCGGCCGGCACCGAAGGTAGGCAGTGAGAACCCCAGAGAAAACGAAACCGAAACCACGCCGCGTACGTTGGTGCGCACTGAAGTCGGAGCGGTGCGGTTGCGCTGGGTTCACAGCATGAAGTGCTGCCTGTGCTGGGTCATTAAGTGCTTCAATAGTCATGCGTCGTATCTCGTGGGGACAAAGTTTCAGTTTTTCACCTCGCCGATGTTGTGTGGGACAGCGACAACGATGAACCCGTGCCGTACGGCGCGAGAAATTTGGTCTCCCGATCATGTCTGCCACTGTGTCGACACGGCGGACATATTCTAAACTCCCGCTTTGCGCTCTGCGTTTGTTTTCGTACCAGTAACGCCTACATGTGTCAGCGTCGATGTGACGAACTGAAATGCCATCTCCACACTCGCGGGTATGCAGTGCCAATTTCGTTAGAGGAATGCCCTTAAAAGAAGTTTCGTCCCCATCGTACGTGTCGATGATATTTCCGGACAAGTGGCACGCAATCTGTACCTCATGAAAAAAGATTCAAACGGTAAAAAAAGTGACAAATATAAATATAAAGAAAACAACAATGAAACTCGGAATCACTGGGGAATCGACGTTTGATTATGGAAGTTTATGTGGTGTGCTTTCTTTCTTGATCAGCCTTCATTTGGATGTGGAAACGCTGACACCCCAAGTTCTGTAGACAACAATTTTTTTTCTCTGCTTTAGAGCCACCTATCGCAAAGTGGTTCGAACTGGAAATACCGTCCCACTTGTGCCTTCCTACGTGTAAAGTGTACACCTCCCACGATGAGTAGTATTATCTGACAGCCTTTGACGGTCAAAGCCATTTCCCATTTAGTTACGCCGCCCAAACTAAATGTCTACCTGGTTTCGCTACGCCAACTATTTTTGTTATAATAAGTGTTGTGCCAAGCTACGGTCATGTCAAAGTACCTGTGCGCCGAAAATCAGCACCTCGCACAACAGGTCATTACACAACAGCTGACCGCAAAAGCCCTTGGCGGCCAAACCGTGTGTTGGCTGAAAACTTTGTTTTCTCGGCTTTGGGACCAGCTTTCGTAAAGTTTTTTCAATCGGAAGTACAGTGCACTAGTCCCTTCCTAACTGTAAAGTCTCCATCTCCCACGACGAGTGGTATTCTCTTGACAGCCCTTTCACGGTCAAAACCGTTTCCCATTCATTTACGCCGCCGAAACCAAATTTCCACCAGGTTTTTCTATGCCACCATTTTTTGTATAATAAGTGCTGTGTCATATTACTGTCCAGTCCAAGCACCTGTGTGCCCAAATCCGCAATTTGCACAGCCCGCTATAACACGACATTTTGGGTCCAATATTGGATATCCCGTGCAGCTTTATTTCTTTATTCGTTAGAAACATAACTTTCACACCTGCTGTCTTAATGAAACTTGGCACACTTCGTTCACAAACTTAGTGAACATCTCACTCGCCACCAATATCACCGTTCCAGCGGTCCTACGTTTACAGCGACGAGCGAAATAAATTTCCCACTCAGAGCAATTATGGTGGCGGCCGTCTTGCTTTTCGGAAAATTGCTCCAACCCCTTTTTCGGCCGCAACTAGAGAAATTACCCACAATAACGACTCAAACTCAATATAAGAGAAGTGGAGGACAGCTAAATGCCCTTCTGCCCCAGCGTTCATGCAACCTCACCCTCAGCGTACCGGCTCATAAAGCAGAAGCTTCGTCCGTGCGCGCTTCCGCCGCCACAGCTTGGCATGCGAAAAGGCGCCGCAGGCTGCTGAACGCGCCTCACTGTCGAACGCCAGCTCCTCCGCTAGCGGCGCTGCGCGCGTTTTTCAAAGCGCCCCCTATAGCTCCATAGATTGCATCCTTATGATCACGCTGCCAAGTGTACACATCACGAGGCTGTTTGTGCGAACGTGACATCGGCGCTTTTTCGCGTTATCTTCGAACCAAAAATCGAAGAATGGAACGTTTCACCACCCATTTTGATACACCTGATTTCCTACCTGCTTTTAACACATACCTTGTTCCCATTGCTGTCGGTGACACCACGTTGCTTGCAGAGAGGTAGGTACCTCTATTTATTCGTCCGTTTCAGCCACCAGATGGCGCGCGGATCGTAACGTGGTAAAGCAAGATAGAATTTGAGGATAGGTTGATGCAAATGGATGGGGAGCAATGGGCACGAAAGGTTTTCAGCTATTTGTACATGAGAAGTGTAGACACAAAGTGGAGACAGCGCACTAGGAAATTAAGAGGAAAGTTTTTGGGCTATAGCGAAGATACTGAAGAGCAAGTCTCAGTTAAGAAGAAAGTTAAGGCCACAGAAAGAGATCGGTGGCTAGAGGGAATGCAGACAAAGACGGCTCTGGAAAGCTATAGATTAAACAAAAGTGTTATTGCCAAAGAAAGCATTTATGGCAATTCTAGGGGAAGCTCATTGCTGTTTGAGGCGAGGACGGGTGTTCTGCGAACCAGAACATACAGAGTGAAAAAACGGTTAAAGTGCAGGCGAGCTGGTGGATATTTACCATGATGGAACTTAACCCGAGACTGGGGTAGAAACAGAAACTTAAAAGTAGAAGGGACAGAGACAAGTGAAGAGAAGAGTGAAGAAGAGACGTTCTCTTCTTCACTTGTCTCTGTCCCTTCTACTTTTAAGTTTCTGTTTCTACCCCAGTCTCGGGTTAAGTTCCATCATGATACAGAGTGAAGTACCAGGAAATTGATACAGTGTGCACTGCTTGTGGAGAGGACGACGAGACGGCTGAGCACTTGATACTCTACTGTAAAGGCGATGGGCGGCGATGTGAATATGTATTGCTACCCTATGCCTACCGAAGACAACATAGATTTAATAAAGTCGTTGGGTTTTAGAGACAGCGAAGGGAGGGTGGATTTCAAGACTGTAGAGATTACCAAGCAAAGATTAAGTGAATGGTGGCAGAAATCGAGAGAAAACTAGGTATTTTCTTATTCACTGATGGCAAGGGGGTTTCATAGCCTCACTTTCTTTGCACTGCGGAGTGAATATAGATTTCACATTTAAATATTCTAAGCTTAAATGGTAAAACAAAATGGCTAGGTGGCGTAAGCTACCGCCCGATCCAAAGGGCTCAGCCGTATTCATCCATCCATCCAGGTTGAACGAGCAACTTCTAGATGGCGCCAGTATCGAAGTGTGAAAAGGCCCGCGTTATCCGCTGCGGGAAATAGATCCCCAAAATGTGTCGTGTTCTCCCGGCGGAGGTACGATACGATACGATACGAACTTTATTTTTCACCACAAATACAAGTGGTGAATGGGAGGCCGAAGAAAAAGCTGCATAAATGCAGCTTGACGAGGCTCCGGACCCCCCATTCAGCAGCTACGACGGAGTACATACAGTACACTGGTCAAAAAAGAAAAAAATCAAATGAACAAATTGAATATTTGGCTGTTGGACAATTGCACAATATCTATGTTTTTAACAAAATATTCGTTCAGAATAGACGGTAAAGCATAACTTACTTTTTGTTTTCCATACTTTGTTCTACATTTCGGAATTTGCCAGGGCTGGTGATTCCTCGATGAATAATAGTCACTTTTTTCTTTTAAATCAGACAGTTGAAGAATTACATTTGAGCGTCCTAATGCCGCATATTTATACGCCATCGTTAAACGATAGTTATAGATTTGGTGAATATTAATAATCTTGTATGACTTGAACAGTGAATCCGTATGATGTATGTAGGGAACGTTACCTATTATTCTTAGCACTTTTTTTTGCAATAAGTGTATTATATGCAAGTTTGAGTAAGAGGTGTTACCCCAGATAAGGGCGCAGTAACATAAATGAGAATAAAATAAGGAATTGTCGAAAACCTTTTTTACGCTGGATGGAAGAA